ACCCACGGCTGCACGGTGGCTGCCAAGCTGGTGCCAGGTGGCGTTTTAGCTGAGTTTAATAGCTGTGTTGGTTGGGCTTTCTGGTGCCTTTCCTTGCACCCCTTGGTTTGAAGGCAGTGGTCCCCACGGAGCTGTGATGTGATCGATGCAGCTACCCGAATCATGCAGATAATCGTGGTTCTTTTTTCTATACTTTTGTGAATRGTATTCAGGTGGGTTGGTGAATATTCCAGTCTTCACAACGCCTCCAGTTGGCAGGGAAGTGGTGGTCCCATTAAAGAGGTATAAAAAATATGGCACGGAGGAGTCTGCGATTTTGCCACTGCTGCAGAGAAATCTGTGGCAGGAGTAAGAGCAGAATTGGGGTGTCTTGTTTAGTGCAGAGTCTTAATTCAAAAAGATTTTCCTTCTTCATCTCATGTGGGTTGTGAACGTGGAAATTTCATGCAGTCGGGGTCGCTGGGCAAGCCCTGTTCTCAGGAATCAGACTTCTTTGCATCAGTAACCAGGTGAGCACCCAGAAAAGCACCCAATGCAACGGGGTCTGTCACCATTCTGTGATTCTGTGGGTGCGAGGGTGTAGGTTGTAATGGGAAATTTGCCCGGAATGGCCCGTCCTCTGGCTTTGCCTCTCTATAGTTTTGTACAGTGAATATACAATCGTCGGCAGCCTGAGCATTAACTCGGCGGTCGTGGTCCTGATGTGTGATTTGTTTCAGAACCAAAATAATAGGAAAAGGAAGGGAATAAATCCCTTCCTAGCACCGTCTTGCAGTAAGAAATACAAGAAACTGCGTGCAGGGGTGCCTGATGGCTGCATCCTCCTGATGGGAACCATAAAAGCTGTGGGTCGCACTGTGCCTTATCCTAGGCAAGAATCCGGCTTGCGGCGCTGAATGCCAATGTGTCTGGGGGAGTCCCTCCTGCTCGTGGGCTTTCCAAGCCATGAAGAATGCCTGGCGTCCAGGAGGTGTGAGCTCTGGAAGAGAGGAAAAGCCTGCAAAAGAGCATTGGCAAATTAAAAACTATCTTCTTGTTTCTGCCAGAGGAATGCAGAATAGCTCTCAGAAGGAAGAACATCCTGCTGCCCTGGCTCTCTCATCCAGCTGGTCAGATCTGAAAAGCAATTGGGTCCAAGTGTTAGAAAGTGGGGTCTAACATGGAAGGAAGGAAACAACCTGCCTGGTAGGGGCTCTCCACACCTCTGACTCAGATAAGTGGAACTTTAGTCCGTGCAAATTAAGGCTTCTGGTCGATCTTCTGTTTTCTGCTCCCCTGTTTGCTTAGCAATCTTTTTCAAGGCACTTATATTAAATTGCACAGCGCTCTTGATGAAGAGCCCTTACTCTGCAAGAGACTTGAATGCGCAGAGGACAGAGSACGTCTGTGGCTTTGCTGGACTGAATCTGCTTAGGTATCTGCAGAAGCAGCTGGGAAGGTGGTTTTTATAAGGCAAAGTAGGTGTTTGTGCTCCAGTTTTGCTTTAATACAAGTTGGACAAGTGTGCTACAAAATACAGACAGGGCTGTAGGTTTAAACAAGCTCCCGGATCAGCCTGCACTGGGTATYTGCCAACTTGGATCCCCAAATGTGCCAGATGAGCAGGGAAGGTAAAGACAAGACCACGAGTCTCCGGTTCTGTGTCCTCCAGCCATGAAATGAGGAGGAGGACTCCTCCCAAGGAACCAGACCTGCTCCAAAGGAGCAGGTGTTTGCTAAATCTAGGCCAGGTTCCCCCTTCCTGGTGTTTCTAGGTGAGCTAAGCAGTAATTTAACATTTAGGATACTTACAGAAACTGAACATGAACTCATTTTCCAGCCTTCCTTTCCTTCCCCTCTTCAGCGCGCTGCAGACAAGAGCTCCTTGAGGGACATGATCTCCTCTGTGAGGCCAAAGGCAGCAGTTACCCTCCCTGACCCACCATCCCTCACGTCACTGTCCCTTACCTGGCACCCCTCACGTCACCCTCCTTTACCCGCCGTCCCTCACGCCGCGGGCCCAGACTGTCGTAGCCGGGGCCGCGTTGGCTGCAGCAGAGCCCAGGTGCTCTCTAGGCTGCTTATTTTGGTTGCTTGTTTTCTCCTCCGCTCTTTTCCCTCTCATCATGGGCCTTTTAAAATGCCATATCCACAACCCCATGATACCCACATGGGGCTTGCTACCGTAACCTGGAATTTAGCGTCTGTTTTGGTTTTCTTCTTTGGAGGAAGCCTCGGGCGAAACGTGCATGGGTGGTTTCTAGCTTTTTCTGCTTCTACCTGAAATTACTGAGTTTCTCTTCAGATGCAGCTTCCCTATGCAAAGATGAATGTTTAATGAGTGTGAATGCCGAGCCTTTTATTAATGAACTGCCACCTCCGCGGAGGCCCTTCCTGACCCTGGGGTGCCCACTGCCTGCTTTGAGGCAGAAAGAGCAATTGCAGCTGCTGAGAGGCAGAAAAGGCCCCTCTGGGGCAGCTTAAAGGGCTGCCCTGTGGAAAGATGGACTTTGGGGCTTTTGAAAAATGCCTCATTAGCGGCTGATGACTGAGCAGGGCGGATCTTGCTGCGAAACCCGCAGCGGCCCCRTGCCGGAGCTGGGGCGGCTCTTCCCCCGTCCCTTTCATTTTGTGCTTCCATGCTGGGCACCGGCAGCCGCTCGCGGGGCCCGCGGGGCCCTGCAGCTTTTGCTCTGTACCCCGGTGTAGGTGGCTCCCCAAGGGGCGTTTTTAATCATCGCTCTCCTCCCTGCTGCTCTCCCTGCCCAGCATGGCCTCTTTTACCACTTGCCCCTTCTCACTTGCTCCCTTGGGCACATCTGTCTTTACCTCGYGTTGCCTCATCTGATGGCACCCTAACTCTGGGGGTAGAGATTGGAGCAGGTGTGCAATTATTTCAGGAACATTTGCTCCTTTGGATTTGCTCCTTTTTCCTCCGATTGCCCGCTGATAGGACAGCTGCTCTTTCTAGGAGTGTGTAGGGGACACAGTGGCCACTAGCCACTGGCATGAAGTGCAGCTTTGCTCTTGCTTCTTCTGCAGCTCCTCGAGGTGTCTCTGGATCCAGCTCAGCAGTGCGTGGACCTGGGCTGCCTCTGAGGATCACACTGCTTCCCTTATTCCCTAATACTGACACAGAGGATGAAAATTATGGCAGCATTATTTCTAGTTCTACAAAGCTGCAGCTGAAGCAGCATTGCTAGAGTCTTCCTGGCCAGAATTTGCTGCTTGGGGTTTTCTCCAAGGTGTGGAGTAGGTGCTAGTTTAGGAAGGAGCCACGTACCCCTTCTTGACACTCGTGTTGCAGTTTGGATGGCACCATCCTGAACTCCAGGCTACCTCTCACTGGATGTTCACCGTGAAGCCGCTCGGTTACGGAGCAGGAAGAGCAGCTGCAGCCGGAGCCCAGGCTGGGGCTCGTGACTGYGAGGGCAGCAAGAGCTGCAGCTCCTGCCTCTGCTGTTTGCTGGGCTCAATGTCACCTGTGGGCACCATGGGGGAAGCTTCCTGACTGCGTTGTGCAAACAGCGTGGTACACCTGAGCATTTTGAAGATGCAGGATATCCTCTGTGGTTTATCTGGTACCTTCAGGGTGTCTGTATCTGCCCTTCTGCAAGAGCTTCTTTGGGGTTTCCTGTTCAGTGTCAAATAGCTTTGGCTCTCTGCTGGTGCTGGCCTTGTATTCACATCTAACCCTCATGAAACTGGCAGCTCGGTTTTCCAGTTGAGCAGCATTGCTTGTATATCTATTTCCACCTAGGAAAGACTCCTGCAGCAGGGGTATTTCTTGAGCCAGCAGTTCAGAATTCCCCTGTGGCCCTGAGCCTGGAAATGAACATGGTGGGATTCCTTGAGACACAGCTATAGTGCAGTATTAAACCATGAAGAGCAAACAAGAACATTTATCGACCAGTACCGTGATGCCGGTGGCAGCCGCCTATCTGCTTTTCCTTGTTCCTTCACCAACAGCAATGCGGTACTCACAGTACCTCTCAGCAGTCTCTGATCTGAAAGGAAGGTAGAACTGCATGTGTTCTAGCCCCAGAAATGCAAGCACCTACCCTGCTCTCTTGATGCCAGAGGCCTGCGGCAGTGTTGTCCAGGTGGCAGTGCCTTAGGATGCCTCCTTGCAGCCTGCTGCCTCTTCCCTGACTGAGGAGGCAGCAATGCTTTGGATGGCATGTGCTTCCTTCCAGGGCAAGTGCCTGCCCTGGAGGGTCTCACAGTTCAGTGCTTCCTGGTGCAGAAGAAGGAGCACATGGTGGAGTCTCCTCCTAAGCTGATTTATGGCCCAGCACATAAATCTGGGAGCTTCCATGTCAAAGTAGCCACCAAAATGCAGCCCCAGCAGCTGTGGGAATCAGAAACATCTTGTTTAGATTTGCTGATATTTGCAGCTAGCTGCTGAGCTGAACTACTTTTAGCAAAAGAGCAACAATAACAAAAAAAAAAAAAAAAGATTGGTGTCATTAAATTTCCAGCACATCTATCTGTGCTTCAGATAGGCACTTGGTGGGCAAAGCTCACAGTAAGTAAATCTGATTCTGAATAAAATGGGGGTGGAAGTGAATATCCCAGTTTTCATCTTTGCAGCCAGGTGGTCTCTCCTTCTGGAATGGCTGCCTGTGTCGAGATCTTGCTCATCTACTTTGGCTAATCACCAAAGATTGATTTTGGCAAAGACCACGGTCTTTGCAGGTCGGTCGCAGTTCAAGCCTGTGAAACCTCCCGGAGCTGAGCAGGCTTCCTTTGTATCATCCCTAGTCTCTGCAGATCAGAGTCTTGTTTCGCAGAAATGATTTGCTGCTCTACTTTGGTAGAGTATTTATCTGGCACAGTCAGGACCGGTTTGTTTACCTGATGGTATCTAGTGCTCCAATTCCAGCCAGCAGTCTAAAGTTCACAGGAGGGAAGAAGATTTCAGGGAAATTACGAGTTTGACTGGTCCTAAGGAGTATGAGGCACTTCAGCAGGAACAAGCCCCAGAAGAAAAGCACTAAACTGTTTTTCTGTCTCTCTAGGATGAGATGACCTCAAGTTTGGGCCTTACCACAAAAAAGGCCCTCACAATCCTGAGAGATCAGTTGTCAGCGCTGCTGGAGGGACATCAGAAGGAACGGAAAAAAGTGACTTCCTGGAAGGTGAGACGCCAAATAGCACCAGGTTGGGCACTCAGTCATCTGATGTCAAAGCTAAGCTGAGGATTGACTGAAGGTTGGCAGCGTTCCCTTCCAGCCTGCTGCTGCGGAACTTCTGGCTATAGAAYTGCTAATGTCCTCAAGAACCAAAGCAAGCCATTACCCTAGAGTGTACTTCTCTCAGCCCTGCTCTCCTGGAGCTGCACAGTAGCCTGGCTTGAGTTCTGAGAGACTTAAGGGTTTCAACATTATGTTTGAAAAGTGGTCTTGAGARCGGAAAGCCCTCAAGCCCCTGGTGACCGTTTGCACTGGGGGTCTCTATCAGGTGGAGAGGAAGAGCTGTGGAACTTCACACAGTCTCCCCTTGCCCCTCCGTGTTTGGCTGACTTATGAATACGAAGTGGTAGTGTTTATTCACATAATTAAATGTCAAAAATCTTCCTCTCTGGGTCGGTCACCATAGAGCAGCCTGGCACAGAAGCCTTTTTACCTTTCCAAGCAAGAGCAAAGCAGAGAGTGTTCATGCAGACTGCCCAGCTGAGGAGCCATTAGCACTCAGATAACTAATCTGGGGAGCCCCATGTCATTTTGAGAGGTTTTGCATAGTTGTGTTAGCTGCTGCCTTCACCCTTTTGCACTCAGCTTTTATAAGCTTTCTTTTTATTATTATTCCTTTCGTGACTGTTGATTCTCTGCCGCTCTGCTGTTGTAGGAGGTGTGGAGGAGCAGCTTTCTGTACCATGGTAACCGTTGCTCCTGTTTCCACTGGCCTGGAGCATCTCTCATGCTTCTGGCAGTGCTGTTGCTGCTGTGCTGCTATGGAAGCCAGCCACAGGGGAGGTAAGGAAAGCACCCTTCCCTGGTTGCCTGAAACATGGGGGTAGTTTTATGTCTTCTGAGCACTGTGTGTGACCAACTTATCAGTGTTGTCCCTCGTTCTGTCTAGACATTAGCGTATTCACACTGATACTCTGTCCCACTCAGTCCCTCACACAAAACTTCAGCAAACTTAATGCTGCTTCCAAGTGGACTCATGGAGAGAGAATGAGTTTTCYTTCCTTTTCTTTCTTCTCTCCCTAGATCTTTAAAAAAAATGTAAGTCAAGAAGGATTTTGATACTGAGTTGGAGAAGTTTGTAGTTCATAGGAGAAGAAACTGTGCTGTCATGTGAGCCACAGCTTGACTTGATTGTATCTTGTGAGGGTATTTTTGTATTGAGACAAGTTCTTTGGAACTTCTCTTGAACTTATCCTGAAAATGGAGCATGATAACAGCTCCTCTGTATTTCTTTCTTAGACATGAGTCTCTGGGATATAAGAATAAACAACTGAGCAGGTGTGCATTTATCTCTGTGAGTGGTTGGCAGTGTATTCTGCTCATGTATTCAAACCTCATCTGCTTTCTGCTTTCTTTCCTTCTGCTGTGCAAAGCCAAGGTGCTGAGATAGTTAATGCCCTGGCACTCTTCCTCCTTCTCCTCCTGGACCTCTTCATGATCGGGCGGCAAGAGAGGCTGAAGTGCAGAGAGGTGGAGAGGAGACTTCAGACAATCATTGATAAGATAAATGGTGAGGTCTGATTCATTTGTCTCTCAGTTGCATTCTGGGTTTTTTCCTTTGTTGGATTTTCCTCCAAACCTGATCACTTGGGTCACCAAGCTTAGTAGTCTTGCCCTATGCTACTCAGAAAGAGGCTGTGAGGATTGTGCTGTACTCAAGCCTGTCCTGCAGAATAGTTATTTTGAGTTGTCATGTGGCCATGTGCTGCCGGTCTGTATGTTATCAGGTAGGCATCTGTTATGTCTATGCTTTGGAATAATTCAAAACTTGAATATCTTACAAACATATCCTCCTACAAGAAGATGATGAGAGAAGAATCCGTGGGGTTGTACCCCAACACAAAGCAGAAGGAAATAAATTGCTGTACTTGACCATCTTCTCAGCAGAGACCTTTGAACCATGAGAAAGGGGGGAAAAGCCATCAAGGAGAAATAGAGAATTGTAGAAGATAGTGGGAATGAGTTGATATTAGGATGGGAGGCTCATAGCCACTGTAGGATGTAGTGTGACTGGCCCTTCTAGAGCTGTCAGCACTTCATTCTTTCATGCTGTGTGTTTTCAGATACACTTGGCAAAGAGGTGAAATGGCCAGACTCCATGTACCCCGACCTTCACATGCCTTATGCCCCATCTTGGTCCCTCCATTGGGCCTACAGGGATGGTCATCTTGTCAATCTACCCGTGAGCCTGTTAGTAGAAGGAGATGTCATTGCTTTGAGGCCAGGCCAGGAGTCATTTGCTTCTCTGAGAGGGATTAAGGTAACTCACTTGTCTTATTCCTTTGATTCATGATGATGGAAGATATATTGCCCAGCATTTTCTTCTTAATATTCTAATTTCCAGTGCACAGCTTATTGGTGTAATTAATTTCTTCTAATTTTGAAAGTGATTTGAAACTAATTCAGTCAAGGAAGTGCTTTATTAGACAGACTGTGTCTTCCCTATGAAGACAATAGACTTTGCTGCATGAGGAAGATTGGCAAAACTTTTAAGCTTGAAATTTACTGATGTGCTTTACTGTAACTTCCACTCCAAATGCCAGTTTTCATGAAGTAACCAGATGTGCTTTGTCACTGCTCAAGGCTTACAAGCATTTCAYTTTGTCTCATTTTTGAAGCAACAGTTTAGTTAATGAATTCCTGAGAGGTGAGAGAGCGAACGGTGACAAGTTGTGTCACTTGCAGTGGGAGGGCTACTGCTGGGCTAAACCCCCAGGCCCTCGCAGCAGGGTTCCGCCAAGGTCCTAACCTTCTGGTGGCCTTCAGACCATCTCAATTTTATTTTAGGACGATGAGCACATTGTTCTGGAGCCAGGAGATCTTTTCCCACCTTTCTCACCTCCACCTTCCCCGCGAGGAGAAGTGAAGAAGGGACCTCAGAATCCTCAGCTGTATCGTCTCTTCCGTGTCCTGAAAACCCCAATAATTGATAATGTGAGGTGAGTTCAATCAGTTGTCAAACTTTGAGCCTGAGGACGAAGATCAATTCACAGTTTTCCGATGAGGGGCATCTTCTGTAACTCAAGGGCCAGGACTGTCACTCTGTAGGGAAGAATAATCTGCAACAACAGTTTTTCCCCTCTGAAAATGCTGCTGCTCTAAGGAGTCTTGTTGGAAAAATGTGAGTTCTGGTAGCAAACAAACCAGGAATGAGTTGTGGAGACACTGTTATACAATCACTGCACCCATTTCAGTAGGAATGGAAACCACATTTTTTGAAAAGATGATATTCTCTTTGTTAAGGCTATTGAATCTTCAGCTGTTAGTAGTTAGGACAGTAAATGGTCTCCACAGAGGAAGATGGTCTTCCTATTKGAGGGTGTGTAATCAGTGACGTGACACCCTATGGGCAACTGGAGATGTGGATATCTGAATGTCCTCTCAGAGAAAAGTACACACTGAGCCATGGAGGCCTCCTGTCAGTGGGAGAAGAGATCCAGGAAGTCTCATTAACGGTGCTGCAAATTTCCCATGGCCAATGCAAAGCTGTTAGGACARAATTTGGTTGCTCTTTTGGAGGGTCCCCATCATAGCACAGGGTGAACACAATATTCTAATCAAGTCTGCCAAGATTACATGGGAGGAAAGTGCAGGGTTAGGATCTTGTGGACTGCTGACATCCTTAGCTGTTTTTCATTTTTCAGGTGGTGTCTGGAAATGGCTTTGTCACGTCCTGTGACAGCCTTGGATAATGAGAGATTCACTGTGCAGTCAGTAATGCTGAAGTACGCGGTCCCCATTGTACTGGTAGGTTTCATTTCAAGCATTTGCTGTTGAGCAGAGCTTGTCTGTTGTCAGTAAAGGTGAAGAATTTGCAGCCATCAACAAGAAATTGTGGCCAGGCACTAACTCATGCAACTGACTGACACTGGATAGTTCAGTGGAGTGAAGATGCGGAGCCACCTCCACATAGCAGTGAGAGTGGAGGCAGGCACTGCAGCTGCCAAACAACCGATTTCCTAAACTCTGCTAGGGCTGGGAAAGGAAATGAAAAATCCCGCTCTGCAAGCACTGGTGGCTTGCTGACAGTGTCCCCTCTGTTTGAATGGCAGGCGGGCTTCCTGATCACCAACGCTGTGCGCTTCATTTTCCAAGCTCCTGGAATTGCCTCTTGGCAGTACACTCTTCTCCAGCTACAGGTAAGGGAGTGTTGTGAGCTCCCCTGCATGTTTCCTTCGMAAGGCACCACAGTGGCTAGTTCCCTCCATCAGCAACTTGCTCCATCCCACGGGAACATCCTGTGCATGTTGTTCCTTGCACATGCTGGGTCCAGGGGTCCTGGAACAGGACAATAACTCCACCTCTCCATTCCTCCTAGGCAGCCCTTGAAGTTGTTTGCCTTACATGTATGTAAAATATATATGTATATATAAATATATACAATATGTATATTTTGCTTTAAAATGCCGAGAGTTTCTGCCAAAATTCTGGAAGAAAACAGCAACAAATTGGTGTGATTTGTTCATGTCCTCCTTCATTACAATCCCCTAAGGGTGTGTGAGTCTCCCCTTCTGTGCTTCTCCATGTCTCTGCTTTCAGTGGTTTGCAAGTTGTCTCCTTCTTTCCTGCCTTTTACCCATCCTCTCACTGGGTGGAAAAGAGACTACGTGACCGGCCTGACTCCCTGGTGTCTCTGTGCTTGCTGGTAATCAGGAATGTTCTTTTTCAGGTGAATGGTGTCCTGCCCATCCTTCCACTGCTCTTTCCTGTCCTGTGGATTCTTGCTACAGCCTTTGGAGAAGCCAGAGTCTTGGCCCAGATGAGCAAGACCTCATCCACCTCCCTGGTAGGTATCTGTCCACACCAAGGTGTTGAAGAGAGAAAGGGCAGGGTTTTGAAGGGCTCTGTGAAGTAACCACAATGAATTCAGCAGATGAATCCACTTTTTTTTTTTTGTTGTTGAATGTTTGGGTATCCCACCTAGTCCCTTTTTCACAGTGTGACTTATTTTTGGTCAGACATTTCAGTTTTGTTTGTTTGAGACAAGTGTAAATGTAATCAGTTAGAGGGCTCTGCAGGGATGTAAATTCCATGTAGTGTCTCTAACTAGGGAGCATTGAGCTGCTGAGAAGGGATGGGCTACATGAGCTCACCTGCAGTCCTCCGCTAGGACCTGTGGGCAGCGTAACTTTTTCTTGAGTTTTGGGACTTTGCTTCCAACGTGGCCTTGGCTGCAGGTCAGGAGTAAGAAGAGTTTCTGGTGGTTTTGCTGGTTTGAGGGGTGAAGGTTGGAAGTCTGATGGGTGTGTGATCCCAACGGGACTCCACTAGCAGGTGTCAGAGGTCTCTTGTTCTTGCCCAGTGCAGAGAGGAGCTGCACTGTGTTATCTTCTCTGCTGACTTCTATTACGCCCGTGCTTGGACACAGCTTCTCTCTCCTTTTTGTCCTTCCTTGAACTCTGTGGCCCTAGGTCTGTTTTCTATTCTTTTCCTTATAGGTTACACATAACATTAACACCTGAGTTGCYGGTGTCCTTGGAGGGGGGACAGATGTTACTGCCATCAGTGACATCTCTTTGCCCCTTCACCATCTCTTTTCACTGGGTTCTCCTCATTGCCTTCACATCTGTTCTCAGCACCCATGATGTCTGTTCTTGAAACCTTCCTCTTTCTCCTCACGCCTTGTTCTTTGGCAGCGAAAACCCAGAACTCCTTGGCTTCCCTGCTTCATCGTCTGAGCATCTCAGTTTGCCTTGTCACTTATACTTGCACCTCCCTTTTGTTCTTCCCTATCTTCTTCTTGAGCTCCACACATGTCCACGCCACTCATTCTTTGTGACATCTCAGACATTATCCTTGCTCCTTGTCCCTGCAGAACAACTGTTGTGATGTGCTTTGGTCTTTCTCCCTCTGACTAGGGCAGTCTTCTCTTGGCCTCACTATTTCACACCTTCCTTCCCTCTACTCCATTCCAAATGTAGCAGGTAAGATCTCCTCTCCGATCACTTGGCCTGTGTGACTTTCCTGTCCACCTTCTGCCCCCTCCCATCATGTTCAAGCTGTTTGATTTCCAGATTTTTGAGGTGATAGGAGACCCTTTTGGCCAATTAGTCGGACATCCTACATGACACAAACCTGTGGTCCCTAAAGGAGCCTCTGCCTCAAGGGCTGTTACTATTACTGGAATACAGCAGTATTCCTTCCAGAAAGGAATTTGATGTTTGTTTGGAAAAGTACTGCCTTTGATAGGTTGCTTCAGGAATTATTTACCTTCACTGTTAAAAATGTACACTCTATTTTAGTGTAAATTTCTGTAGTGTCTGATTTCCAGCTTTGGATCTTTTCACATCATTTACCCCAGATTTAAGAGCACCTCAATTAAATTTCTGGTGTTTGGGTAGCTACTCACATTCCCTTGTATAATCTCTTTGACAAAGTAAACAGTTCAAGCACCTTGAATCACTATAAGCTTATTTTCCAACCTATAATCTTTCCCTAGGCTTTCCTCTGTTTCTGCAGTGTTTCAGGATCACTGCAGAATTACAGGTCTCTAAAGAAGACTAAATATTCCAAAACCTGTGTGTTTATGCTGAATATCAAAATAATTTGGCCTCTATTCCGTGTTTCTCCATTAATGCAACAAAGGATCAATTAGACCTTTTAGCCATGGCTTTAAATGACCAGGTCTTGTTCAGCTGATTGTCTCCAGTGGCCTCCAAGTCCCTGCTGTTTTCTGAGATAGGGCCCTCGTCCTGTAAACCCAGCCTGCATCTTTGCTCCTACATAGGCGACCTTGTGTGTGTACCTAGTGGTGTGCATGGGTTTTGCTTGTTGTTTCCCTAGCAGCCTATATTTTCTGTAGTGGTGATCTGCTCTTGTCAGTATTTGTTCCTGCCCCCAATCTTTTCCAGTTTGCAGCCTGTACCAATAATGATTTTGTTTTCTGCTTGAGCTAGTAGCCCATCGAAAATGATTCCTCCGTTTCTACTCCATCTGCAGATAGCACATTTTCTAATCTATTTAATATGGGCCCTATTGCTCTCGTATTACTCTGATTTTGTTAGGAAACTGATTAGAGCATTTTGTAATCAGTGTAAGTACCATATATTCTACATGAAAACAATTACTTTTATCAATCTAATTTGTAATTTTGTCAAAAATAATGTCACGATATTTAATACTTATATCCTTGTGCTGTTTGGCACTGGTTATGTTATTCTACTTCTGTCCTTTTAATTGAGTCTCATATCAGCTGCTCTGTTATTCTGTCTGAAATCTAAGTCTGTCTGGGGTTCTGCAGTAACTAGGTTGTTCTCCTTATCCGTTTCAGGCGTTGGCACAACATTAACTTTCCTCCAGTGCACTGGGACTTGACCCGTGCTTCAAGCCGTGCTCAAAATCAGTAATAATAATCAGAGAGCTGTCTAGACCTGCTGGCTTAAAAATGTTTCGTTTCAGTAGCTAGTGTTAGAATGGAAAATATTTCAGAGTTATCAAATGGTGTATCACTGAGTATGGAGTACCAATATTTATTTAACATGTCTGCCTTGCCTGTAATATCGTTTACAATTTCCCTATCTTCATGAAGCAGTGCACTGGTATTAATTAGATACTGGCATACTTTTTCTTATTTTTATGTTACTTCATATTTCTATTTTCACTTTCTCTCAAAACCAGACTTCTAAACTTTTACTGTGGAGTTGTGGGTTTTTTTAAAATGAATAAAATTTTATTAATAAGTTTCTAATTATCCATCACAGTTTTCTGTTTAAATCATTTGTATCAGCTTTGTCTTGACTTCTTTCAGTTTTATTCGACTCATCCATTTAAAAAGCCATAGTGGTGCATTATTATTTGGGGTATTGTTTTGCTCCATACAAGTGTTATTGCCATGTTCAAAATGGCACCTACTATGGAATCCCTTTGTGCTGGATGCACAGGTGTTGAGTTACTAAATTTCTCACTGTAATTCCASGAGCCCTGAGGTGGTGCCCTTCTGTAAAGCATTTCTTTTTGTTTCCTACTTATATTCCATACTCATTACTTCATTCCTCTGTATGTGTTGTGTTTCAGATACTCCACTTCTCTAACTCCTCTCTTTAAACTCTCTTTTTTTTTTTTTTTTTTAGCAGACACATATATCTTAAATCTGGATCATTCAATACTGGCTCTTTCTATTTTAAAATACCCATTTAGAAAGAGCCTCCTCCCAATCTAATAACTATTGTTTTCTCTCTAGACCTTGAGGTGAGGACTGTGTCTTCATTCTGTGATGCACAGTGCCAAGCACTTGTGCTTCACAAATGGACAGCGAAATAATCCTGTGCTTTGATGGATTGGGCTGGTCTGTCCCAGCACAGCAATTCCCCCGTTGCAGGACTCAGGCTTTCTACTCTCTGGAAAGCACAGTATTTAGGGAGGGATGTTCCTCATGCCACGTTTCTGAGCACAATTATAGTAACTGGTCTCTTCTCTTGCTGCAGCTTGCTAAGTTTTCAGAGGACACTCTCAGCAGCTACACAGAGATGGTATCTTCTCAGGTACTATTATTATGAATTGTTTTCTTCCATTTTCACTGCAGAACAATATCCTTTTCCTTTCTTTCTGATCTCCTAAACCCTTCGCTTGTGCCAGTTGTCAGTTATTTGCTGCTTTAATTTGCTATGTGTGCAGGTTGCATGTCTTTCTCCTACACCTTCCCATGTAAAAGCTGCTCTGTTGACCAGAGATTGAGGTAACTTTGACATTGAGTCCAGCTTTACTCTTCTGAATATTGCAAATGATTTGAAATTAGCCTTTTCTGTCCGGAAGAAGGTGCCTCTCAAGTCCTGCTGTTCAGAGCTGCTATGGGAATGAAGTAACTTCTTATTTTTCTGGTGTATGTCAGAAAGCAGTGAAATATTTTGCTTGTGGCAGGAAAATCTCCTTCATCAAGCCAAAGCGAAAGAACAGAGGGGATGGGGGCAGCTCCAAGATCAAATGCGGAGAGGGAAGCCTGGGATGTCCAATTAATAGTCTGTTAGAATCTTTTTAAGAGGGAAAAAAAAAAAAGCTTTTTCCTGGAAAAAATCAACATCCAACCAGTTTTCTGGATCTCACAGAAAGGGACGTTTATCTTGCAATGTAACACTGTGTTGAACCTGAAGGCAGGTAATTCTGTATTCCACTCTTTCTTTCTCCTCCCTCATCTTTCTCCAATGAGTCTTAATTGACTGATATCCTCTGCTTTCCTTGTCAGGAAATGATACGCTGTATCTGGAGCCACTTCCTGTGTGTTTTAAAAGGCAAATCTCCAACTCTGAGCTTCACCTCCAGCTTGCTCCATAGTTTGGGATCCGTCACTGTGAGTATTGCTGGGTTGTGTGAAGGAGAAGTCCTGCACGAGGCTTCATTTCCTTCATTCAGGCTGTCCTTCCCAAGACACAGATTGCTAGTGATCAATTCATCGTGCYCACAGTAGAGGCCTCTCAGGCACCCCCCTTTATAAAGAAGTTCGCAACTGTCTTGTCCAAGCAGTGTATTTTAAAAAGAAAAACAATGGTTAGAGACAATCCCATGGTATCTAACYGGAAGTCTGTATTTTCCAGCTCTGGTTTTGGTTCTGCAACCTCTTCAATCCTTTTTGAGTGCCAGCTGGTTCTGATCCCAATAAGGTRTTAGCTGGTGAAACAGGTTCAGCAGTTGCTTCCCTTCCCTAATCTTACAATAGCTTGAGGTAAAGCGAGTGTTAAACAAACCATCAATGCTGCTGGAGCAGGGAACTCTCTACTAGGTGGGATTTCTTCATGCAGAAAGTGGTTGGAGAAGGGTCTTCTCTGTCCTCCCTTGAGTTTGTTAGATTTTTGAGTATTTACATCTATGCATAAACACTGAAACATGTTTTTACTCTCTTGTGGATATCGTGGCATATTCTAGGTGCTCTGCTGTGTAGACAAGCAGGGAATTCTTTCCTGGCCAAACCCCAGCCCAGAGACTGTTCTGTTCTTCAGTGGGAAGGTGGAACCACCTCATGATAGCCATGAAGACCTGACTGATGAGCTCTCTACACGGTCCTTCTGCCACCCTGAGATGGAAGAAGAGGTGAGAGATACATAATCCRTGTAATCCATCAAACATAGTTTGACTGACATACTCAAAACAGCCTTATCAGGTTCCTGAATGTGGCRGCTGAACTGTGGGGTTTGTGGTTGCATAGAGAAGAAGAATCTCTATGCTTGTAGAGGAGTCCTATGGCCATAATTCTTTACTTGAAAGATGAAAAAGCAGTGAGGACCAGGTCCTCTTCTCAGGAGTCCCAAGGCAGCGTCTTCTCTTCCCTTTCTCTCTGTCACCACATCAATCCATTTTGCATGCGAATCATTTGTGGTTCATGCTTAGCCACCGAATCTCCACCATTCATTTAACTGGTCTCTTGCAGCCCCATGAAAGAGATGCTTTGCTCTCTGGCCCCCTGGCAGACACAGTCCATGTCACCAATGAGCAAGAGAGAAACAACTGGTCTAGTGACCCTCCAAAGGCTCCCGATGCCCATGCCCACCGAAAGCCAAACAGCAGAAGCAAGCATCCCTCTGGGTCCAATGTGAGTTTTAGCAAGGACACGGAGGGTGGAGAGGAGGAACATACTCAGGTAAGTCATACAGAAAGGGTACAGTTAGTCTCTTGTCCTGGCCCTTGAGTTACAGAATTATACCTGTGGAGTCTTCCTTGTTAATGGGAAATGTAATTGGGAATGCCCTGTGGGATTGTAGGCTGAGGAAGACAAGCTGTATTCATTGTAACCAGCTTGGATTTTCCTACCTGTCGGACCAGGCTGGTGGTGGTGACAGTGAGGTGCTGGCCTGTGAGGCTGAAGACTTTGTGTGTGACTACCACCTGGAGATGCTTAGCCTGTCCCAGGACCAGCAGAACCCCTCCTGCATCCAGTTTGATGATTCCAACTGGCAGATGCACTTGAATTCCCTCAAGCCCCTGGGCCTGAATGTGCTGCTCAACCTCTGCAATGCCAGTGTGACGGAGCGGCTGTGCCGCTTCTCCGACCACCTCTGCAACATCGCCCTGCAGGAGACTCACAATGCTGTGCTGCCTGTTCACGTGCCCTGGGGCCTCTGTGAGCTTGCCAGGCTGATAGGTAAGCAGAAGCSGACAGGGAGAAGTCAGAACTGTCAGCAGAGAAATGGCTGAAACCATAGAGGGGTTACAGAGCTAAATCATTTGGTTTGGGCTTGCTAAGAAGTCAAAAGAGATATTAAAGAGGCTAAGAGGTATTAAAGAGGTTGCTTTTGCCGTATTTGCTATTGTGGATCCTACCAAAGGAACAGATTATATCAAGGATACCTCTAGTCAGTCATATTTAGGCTTGGTGTTCTTCTGGCTTGAGACGACTAATTTTATCACAAAGAATGGACAGATAGGTGACCTGTCTTTACAGTACTGCTTTATCAGCACATTAGGTACAGGTGATATGGGGTACCTCAGTTCATTTTACACATGGGAAAACTGAGGCACAGAGGAGATAAGAGGTCAGAGGCAACACCAGGATTAATATTTGAAAGCTCTTGAACTCTCTTCTATGCCTGTTCTTCAGTGTCACAATTCCTCTCTCCAATGAACCAGAAGACTAAAAGCTGTCATTACTAATGACACCTAGTCATTCTGAGGGCTTTTTCATCATATTGAACGATCTTGGTGTAAATGCACAATGAGAACAGCTCACCTCCCTATTGCTAGGGAGATGTCAGAATAAGAGAAAACTAAAGTGGAGGGTGTGGAAGAAGGAGGGAGAACTTGTGCTTTGGTTATAACCTTATTTTTCTCCTCTTCATGTTCATACTTAAGGTTTCATGCCGGGTGCCAAAGACCTTTTCAAGCAGGAGAACTATTTGGCCTTATATCGCTTGCCAAGTGATGAGGTGGTTAAGGAGACGATACTGGGGAAGCTTTCGTCCATCACCAAGAGGAGACCACCTCTGAGCCACATGATCAACCTGTTTGTGAAGGACACCACTACCAGTAAGGCTGCCTCTTCTTCAGGCATCAAGCTCAGGAGGGAGGGATTTTTTCCATAGGAAACCTAGGAAATGTCAGACCGGAGCAGTCCAGGGTCTCTATGGGGTGATAGTCTTRGGTCATAGGAAGCCTGTTTGACTGTGCTACCTTTTCTGTGACCAAACAGCAGAGTAGAASAAGGTAATTCTTTAATGTGCTTTTGAATAGAATTCATTACAGAAGAAGTATCAGAGAAACTGATACTGAACATGGCTAAATATTGCCCCAAGTTTTAGCTAGTGGTGCCAATYTGTCTGATAACCAAGATGATAAATCACTATCTTTGTAGTCTAAGCTGTAGTCWAAGCATCACACCACCTGCAGCACCTGAGGCCATGCTGACTTTTCCATTCCTTCTGCTCCTTTCTATTCTAATGGGAATGGGCTAGGATGGAAGGGATGCATGGCTGGGCATGGTGAAGCCTTAAAGCACCTCAGCAAGGTTTGCCAGCTTGCCCCTAAGTGCTCTTGGTCCTTTAGTGGTAAATGAATTGACTGATCTTGGGTCTCTGGAGTTGACATCTGGTCTATGTTGAATCTCAAGTATGGTTAGTATGTTGGCCAGTTCATCTCAAACTGTTGTCTTAATCTGTGAAGAAGATTCTTCGTTTGTCCTGATTGCTTCTGTCTTGCCTTTTGAACAAAATTTTTCCAGTGCAGAGATTCTCAGTGTAGAGAAAACCTGTTACTATTGCCTCATTTCAACTCCTTATCCTCATTTTTAAACGGTTTAGTTCAGAGGCTGGAGCTCAGACGAGTACATGTGTGACCTGGATTATGCTGTCTAGAGTAAGTTGTAACAGGAATTTTACCAGTGAGGTTAGTTAACCGTTGGCACACCTTTCACATAGAGATGCTGTACAGTTTTAGCACTTGAAGTTTTCTAGAATACTTGGAGACAGAAATAATGGATTATGCAGATTATTGTGTGAAAACGAATGGCTGTTTTTATGTAGAAGAGTCAGACCAGATGATCGTAACCAACCTCTGTTGAGTTAATACCTGTGAACAAGTGTTGGCACCCAGTCGCTCCCATGATGTGCTGAAGTCAGAAGGAGATATGTGATAAGTTCTATAGCTTATAGGAGAAATAGGAGGTAATTCATCTATATGTTCCACTGAAATACGTGCTTGACCATCTAGCATTGCTCCCCATTCCTTAATACCACATGGAAATAGAAGATCTTTGATGTCTTCAGTGGAGTAAAATGACTTGATATTCCCATTCCTTAATATACATGTGGAAATAAAGATCTTTGATGTTTTCAGTGGAGTAAAATGACTTGATACTCCCTGTCCTCTCTTGCTGTAGCTGCGCAGCTCAGATCCCACCACTTGTGAGTGGATAGACATCCTCCCGAGCACCCAGGGCATAGACTTTATAGGAATCCATGAACATCCCTTCTTCCCTCTTTCCCAGCAAGAACTGTCTGACCGTAGGAGCAAGGTGGAAAGCAAGGTGTTTATATAATCAAATTAACCAGGGCCCCACACAAGTACTTCTTTGTGTCTCTGAAACAAGCTCCTTCTTTCACACACTGCTCCCATTGGTTTTAGAGGTTTGTTATGCTGATAAACTTGGCTTGTGATGTCTATTTATAGTAGAGAGCAGAGAGCTGCTGTGTTTTGGAAAATCCTCCAGCGTTCCTGAAGCTCCCTGCTTGATTTATGCTAGTGGGTATTCTTGGCTCATGATTCCACCAACTAGCGAGAGCATTTGCAGTCAGCAGCAGCGCCTGTAAGAGGCCTTTGGGCTCATTTTTCTTGGCAGTGATGTTTTTTTCATTAGATCAGCTTTGAAGCTGTTGGGGTCAAAATCGCAGAGCAGCTGGAGGAGGGAACCTAGACAGGGAAGTCTACGTGCACGCAATGTTAATGGAGCAGCACAAACAAAACAGGAAATGTGGAGGGGAGGCAGCCCTGCATCCTTTACGTKGTGTCCTGTGCCTGGGGCCTGCAGCAGACAAGTAGCATCACACGCTTTTGGGTGACCCGTTGTAACACTCCAGCCTACAAGAGGGAATTAAAAGTAGTAAGTCTTTTAAAGAATAAAGTAACAGAAGTAAAAATAGAACAAGCTCTGGGGTCCATTGATTTTCAGTTCTTCCCCTGGTCAAGACGTGAGTTATTCTTTTATAGTCTGTGATTCTGAACTTTTGACCCGTCCTCATTTAATTGGTTCCCAGATCCCTGTGTGAAACAGGCTGCTGTTAACATGTCGCACTGTTAAGTCCTCTGCCACGTCAATGGAAGGTATTTGAGAATGGTTGTTACCTGTTAGGTCCATTCCCAGACTAAAATCGACTGCATTTTCCTCTATAGACAGACTTTGATTCCTATAGTCTCRTCACCGGTGCTTATCCCATCACAAGAAGAAGCCCACGAGGGTATYGTCGTGTTTGTTGTGCTGATAGAGGAACAAGTTTTGCCCCAGAGGAACAAGTCCTTCCRTAGGAGCAGGACTGCTACACGCTGTAAGGGATGAATAGGAGCTGACTATGTTTGTTTAACTCATGGTTGGGCAAATAACAGCTGAATATGTCTCATCCAGTCTTGAATTATTTCTTGCCAGGGATTCAAAACTCTTAACAGAGGAAGGGGGGTGTCTGGAGGGGATCCAGGAGCTTTGTGGGGACACTTTTAACAAATGAAGGAGCAGTTGGTGTGAAGTCCCGTGGCGGGCGCCTGAAGGGGTGCTGCTCCYGACCCCTTCTCTCCCATTTCAGGCACTGAGCAGATGTTTTCCCAYGGGACAGCCGACATCATCCTCGAGGCCTGCACGGACTTTTGGGATGGCACTGATATCTACCCCCTCTCTGGCTCTGACAGGTAGGCAGCTTCGTTGTTTGGTGCGTTCAGAAGTTTCTGCCAGTCTGCAGAAGGAACCTGGTCATTCTGTGTTAAAATTCCCCCTTTACTGATGCTTATTAAGCTATTTAACAGAAGCTTGAAGTATGTTATGAACATGAGCAGTCTCTGCTCATAATCCGTTGTTGAAAGCATGGCAGTGCAAAGGATTAGACAGCTACAAGCAACCTGTTGGACTGTCACAGGAAAACGTTTCCTGCTGCGTCTGTTAACATATCAACCTCTTAGAAATGGAAACTGACTGTAGCATATAGAGGACCATACTTTCTAGAGAGGTCATATGCTGATGGCAAGGAGTTCTGTTTGTTCAAGAAATGCCTTATCTTACATAAAACACAAAATTATCGACTCTGCCTGCTGTGGGTAGTTTCAAACCACTTCATACTGCATTGCCTCCTTTTAGTCCTGCAGTGACATCTGACAGTCTGTCCTATCTTCATCTATAGCCTGAATTTACATTCCTGCCTGCTGAGCAGACTGGTATATTTGGCTTCACTGAACAGCAGCACRTTGTTCTACTAAATCTGCTTATCCTCGGTGTGACATAAGTCCAAGTGGTCCTTTTTGGAATATTTATCATCTCAGAAACCAGAGAAAAAATCCCACATTCGGGTTTTTTTTTTTTTTTTTTTTGTGAGTTCATCACAGAGAAGGAAATTTACACTATTTCAGGGACTGAATATTGAGTATTGAATGCTCAGGGACTGACTAACTGGAGACTTAAAATACAGTTCCTGGGACCCAGACTATGGAGGATGGAAGAATAGTCTATTATTTTAAGTATCTATGAGCTATGGATGCTCGTGTCAGGGTTGTCAGTTCCTTCCTTGGTGTTTATCTGCCTACAGATAAACTTTCTCTCTGATGAATTAAGCCTCTGCTGTCGTAAGTGAACTTCCTGAATTATCTGACAACCATATAGAGCATATTATATTAATAAGTGTATTCAAAAAGTACTGCATTCCTATCCATCCATTTGTCAAATGAGCCACCAGAAATGTTCAGCACTGTCCCTGCTGGAATACGTTTTTGTTGCCCAGCACTGCCTGCAGCGTAGAGGCTGCAGAAAGAACAAGGAAAGAGGTTTTCAGAGTCTCTTACCACTGTCCACAGAACACATTTTTCCAAATACCCACCTGGTGGTGTCTGCATTGAACCTCCGCGTACGCAGTCAGCAAGGCCACACATTTCTCTACTTTTGTCCTCTTCTTGCCTCCCGTGCAGGAAGAAGGTGCTGGACTTCTACCAGCGGGCCTGCCTCTCGGGGTACTGCTCTGCCTTCGCCTACAAGCCCATGCACTGCGCCCTGTCCTCCCAGCTCAACGGCAAGTGCATAGAGCTGGTGCAGGTGCCCGGGCAGAGCGCTATCTTCACCTGCTGCGAGCTGCCYGGGACCACCCCCATCAAGCAGAGCAGTCGGAGGAACAGTTGGAGCTCGGACGGTACGTTTCTCCTCTGGCGCCTGTGCTTGGGGCTGCTGTGGGGCTGGGTGATGCTGATCAGTCTAGAGCTGCCACAACGGTGTAACTCAGAGCAGCACGTGGAAATGGAGAACAACACTTTTCTGAAATAGATGGAGAACCAAACTTTTCTCAAGTAGATGCAGTTCCCAAGGAAATAATGATTTAGCTGCTGGCAAGTATGTTTCTAGCTAAGTTACTGAAGCTTGCAAAGAAATACTTGTACTCGTGGGAAATCTCTTCTTTAGAGCAGGCAAGTGAAATTCAAGACTTCTGGGTTTTTGGTGCTTGGCTTGCTGTTTCTCCAGTTCTATGGAAATCACCTATGTTGGGTTTTTCAAAGGAGTTAATTGCCTGATGGTATGTGATTGYGTTGCTGGGCTGGAGGCTCTGATTCCAAGTAGAACTCAAATTGTACAACGTCTCCTCCAGAACAGCACCAGAAAGTGAGCAATAAATACATACCATTGCATAACTCCCAAGGCTCCTTTGGAAAAATCAGTCTTGACCTCTCTCTGCCTTGATTTCCCATTCTGTAAAATGAGAGTAACATCCTTGCAGACAGCTGGGAGGCAGCTCCAATGGAGTGGCTTCTAAACACTTTTCAGTCTTACGTGCAGAGAGCCTTGTAACTGTGTGAAATCTCTGGTTATGTTGTTCCTCGTGCTGCATTCAGCTCCCATTCACCACAGGCTGATGTGGTGATGGTGAAAGGAGCCCTGTCATCCAGGCTTTGGCAGACTATAGGAATCTGTGCGCAGCTGCGCTGGAGGGAACACGATCCAGTTCCAGTTCCTTTGCATCAACTCCTCATAGTCTGATGCCTGTCTGCTTCCGACAGTTTTCTCATGTTGTTTAAGCACAGTATGGTGTGTTTAAAATGCACATGTGAACATTATACAGCATATATCCTTAACCTTTCTGCCCTTTCTCTTGTGACTGATCCATTTTCTCTTTTGTCTTTTCCCTTTCCATGCTCCATGTTTCACACATGTATTTTTGGTCACGTCTATGGGGATGTTCTGAAACTGCTTCTGGGACTGGGTATGCTGGGACAAATGGAYGTCTCTTCATTTTCCCCGTGTGTGTGTGTGTGTGTTTATCTGCATGTTCTTGTGTACCTGGAATCTGTGGCCCTGTGGTGCTGTTTTGGTGGTCTCTGTCACCATGTGTGCTGCTGTCTGCATGCACATATGGCCACCTGTGTCTCAATGTGACTGCGTGTTGTTTGCATGCCTGAAGAAGGGATTGGGGAAGTGATGGAGAAAGAAGATTGCATCCAGGCTCTGAGCGGACAGATCTTCATGGGGATGGTCTCGTCTCAGTATCAGGCCCGTCTTGACATTGTCCGCCTCATTGATGGATTGGTCAATGCCTGCATTCGTTTTGTCTACTTCTCCTTGGAAGATGAGCTCAAAAGCAAGGTAAGCCGTCTTTGYAGAGCCCCCTGAACTTGCATGGCCCCTGCATGTCTGACTGAAGACTTTAGCTCCTGTGCAATTTAAGGTTAATCTGCTTCAGCTAGCTAATGGGTCCAGAAGGTACCTCAGGCTTCAATATGGCAWTGGTCTGCAAAGCTCAGGCCTGGACAGCTCCATTAAAATCTTGTGTCCTCTCTCCTGCAGGTGTTTGCTGAGAAGATGGGTCTTGAGACTGGCTGGAATTGCCACATCTCTTTAACACCCAATGGGGATGTGCCTGGCTCAGAGATTCCTCCCTCGAGCCCCAGCCACGCCGGCTCTCTGCACGATGACCTTCATCAGGGTGAGAGCACTGCACCTAAGCCACTTTGAATGCCACATGTTTCCTGGATGGTTCTTTTAAACCCCTTCATAGGTTCCTGTGTCCTCACCAGATATCTGATCCTTCAGAGCTTTGAGCACAAAACTGGATGGGCCTGAGGTGTGTGCATGTGTGAGCAAGAGCTGTATTTTCATAGCATTTCTACCCACTTCAGAGAAGCAGATGTTGCAAACAAACCTCCCTCTTTGCACCACAGTCATGGCTGTACAACCACTCATTCCGTTTCTGATTCTTGCTGGGGCTGTGGTCAGGCCACCAGGTCAATCTTTGCCTGTGAGTTATTCTTTTCCTCACTTCAAGGGCGATTTCTTCATTCTTTTTCCCCTGGAAGAAGCAAGCAAGCTGAGCAGATAAACTGTCATGTCTCGGAAGAGCAGAGACTAGACTCGCATTTCTACCTCTGAGCAGATTAGTCATCTAAAAATACTGCATTTTGTATGACTGAGTGGGATCTAAGTGTAGCTAACCTAGAAAACCAGGCCTCACGTTTCCTGGCTTCTGCAGTGCCATGTGAATATTGCACGTGGGTGTGACACAGGGGTGGCAGAGACAGGTTTGAGCTTATTGTTTATCATGTTTCTCCTCTGCTGCAGTTTCTCGAGATGATGTGGAGGGGCTTCTGCTGATGGAGGAGGAAGGGCACTCGGATCTCATCAGCTTTCAGCCCACAGACAGTGACATCCCCAGCTTCCTGGAGGACTGTAACAGGGTGAGGCTCCTTTTCCTACCCACCTCACACTGTTGCTGTGGCCAAGAGCATTGCTCTTGCCAAGTCAATGCCTCTCTGAAGCCAGCTGATTGAGCGGTTTGTTGGGACTCCTGATTTTCCCCTTTTCACCTCAGCTTACAAGCGATTGCCTGGGAAGTCTGGGATTCTCTTGGTGCTTCCCTGCTGCCAAGTTGTTCCTCTCTCTGAGAGTTCAGGAGTAGAGAGCACCACATGTGGAGCAGCCTGGAGAGCCCCATCTCAGTCTGTCTGGGTCTTCTTCTCATGTGCTCAGCTCGAGGTGGAAACATGCATATATTCCAGGGAGGCAGACGATARGTATTTTCCCCTGCAGCCCCTGGCTGTAGCTGGTGCTGCCCATCAGTCAGGGTGTGGAACATGTTCTTCCTGCCTCACAAAAGCTCAGACACGCTCAGTGGAGCTTACAGACATATCAGAGAGATGCAGATTAAAAATATATTAAACCTGTGTTCAGAAAGCAAGAACTCTTCCTTTTCTGGGTGTCGATGTGGCTGCARTTGAAGTAGCAGGTCTAGGTGTTAGGAGATTCTAAGAATAAGTGCTCCTCACATGTAAAAGTTCCTTAGAAATCTCTAAGCACAGTTTGATCATGCTGATCTCTCAGACCCTGGGAGAGAGGACAGATAACTCGACGTGTCAGCACAGACAACAGTGATGTGACGTGGCAGAAGACCTTTTACAGTGGCTTTCTCTGCAGGGACCTTAATTTGTATCTTGAAGTTACATTGGGAGAATTATAATTCTCATTTCAACAGTTCCCTGATAACTACTTCCTCCTCACACACTCCTGCTTATCCTCCTTTCTCCTTTTCAGGCCAAACTTCCCCGCGGGATTCACCAAGTGAGACCTCATCTGCAGAACATAGACAACGTGCCTTTGCTGGTGCCACTCTTCACTGACTGCACCCCAGAGAGTAAGTGGGACGAGGGACGTGGGGACGAGGTCTGCCCTGCCTGGGAACACCCATCCATTCGCTCTGGCTCTTCTGGGCAGAGTGTGGAAATCCAGGAAGGGAAGAGGAGATGCTCCAAAAATCCAGAGGGGCATTTTGGTGTTAACGACCCTCTGTGCTACCCGGGGAGGAGCTTGCTTCCTTTTCATGTGACGGTTCCCTAGCTGCAGAACTGGGCTAAGAACCACTCCTCTTTCCATTTGCATTCATAAGAGACACAAAAGCAAACATCCAAAATGCTACTGCCTTTTATTAAAYAAGCTTTATCAGCGTGCTGGGAGACTTTGATCTCTGCTCATAACCCTCGCTTCCTTATATAACTCAGAAATCACTTCCCAGAAGYATTTTCCCCTGGCAGTTACTGTTAGCACCTTTTGCTGCATTATAGAATTTTTGATCRCAGAGACCAGAAAAGACATGTTTTTTGGCTCTGAGAGATGCTACTTTACCTAGGAAAGGGGCTAAGTGCTCAACTGGCTAATGCCTATGCAGTCTGCAATAAAATCATTACAATTTGGCATTTTAGGTCCCTCTTGGGCACAGCTTACAGGAGTGCTGGTGAGAGGCAGCCGCCACCCAGCCTAGGCTCTCAGCTCCTGGGTACCTTTTGGTCTGTCTCTGGTGGGGTTGGTCCTTCCCTGCTCCATCTGAGGCCTCGCTGYACCGCAGATCTGCACCCCTCGTTCAGATAAAACGTTTACACAGGAATCTCTGCAGAGTGTGGCTTAGTTTTGCATAGAGCATTCTAGAAAATTCACGTGTATACAGAGCACTGGGCAGAATTACAGAAGGAAAAGTGGATCAAACAGCAGCTTTGATTTAGAGGCCTCAAGAGGATGTTGATAAAAAGGTTGATGAAGGCTTGAGGTAGCACTGGGAGTGCAGGAACTGCTGCCTTTGAGCTAGGCTGAGTGTGGTACTGCTTTTAGAGTGGTTTGTTAGTTGTTCCTTTGAACTTGGAACAGCCATGAGGCACTTAAGCAGATTTTAAAGTTTTATTTTTATTATTTTCATTTATTTAAGGCTCAGTTATTTAAGTGAATTTAGTATTTCATGTTTTCTAACAACACTCTTGGATGCTAGAGCCACATGTGTTACGTACTCTGGCCATACCCAAATTYGGATCTGACAGAGACCTGTTGGAAGCAGAGCTCTGCTCCGGATCTCAGTTGTGTGGATCACAGCTCAGCTCCTGTAGAAGGCAGGTGCACAGGGCACTTTAACTTCAATTAATTAACTACCTAGTTGCATCATTTGACTTTGAATCTAAYTGCACAAGACTGAGGAATCTCAGGGTTATTTTAAAAGGCCTGGTTGCTTGTTATCCACACTGGAAAATGTGTGCAAAACACTGCTTCTCTGCGTGCACAGTGAGATAACACTCTGGTTTTGTCACCTTGCAGCCATGTGTGAGATGATCAAGATCATGCAGGAGTATGGGGAGGTGACCTGCTGTCTGGGAAGCTCTGCTAACCTGCGGAACAGCTGCCTCTTCCTGCAAAGTGACATCAGGTGGGGCAGGATCCAGAGTCCTCCTCTTGCCTTTCCCTTGCAGATGACTCCTAGCTCCCTTCTCGCACACAGACATTTCCCTCCATCTTTGAAAAGAAGTTTTTAATTTTGCATGTTAAAAGATTGTGCCCCAACTGGCAGTTATGGTTGCATCTCGTTTGGGTTAGAGAGAGGAAACACTGCTTTGGATCAATCAGTTTGCAGATTTTGAGCAGTTTTGAGATTTTGAAATGTAGTTTCTTCCCTGGGATGGGGCCTTTCCCTAATGCTCTCCATGTTGACCATGCAGTATAGCACTGGACCCTCTGTACCCTTCCCGCTGCTCCTGGGAGACCTTTGGCTACGCCACCAGCACTACCATGACTCACATCTCCGAGGAGCTCACCCCGCTGCAGCTCTCAGGACAGCTGAACAGCCTGCCTTGCTCCATGTCCTTTCGCCAAGAAGAGAGCACCAGCATCATCAGGCTGATAGAGCAGGTGAGCCAGGCATGTTCCCCCTGCACTTCTCTGGTCCTAGCCTTCCCCTCTCTACCTGAAGATGGTAAGGATCAAAACCAGGAGCCCCTATTGGCATTTTTGTTGAGTTGTCCTAGCTAAGCTCCTAGCATTAGCTTTGCTTGTGTGTCCTGGCATTTGTTCACAAAGCACAAAGGAAAGATTCTCCCTGCCTGGCCCAACTCCATGAGATGGTTTGGGAATGGTGCTATGTGGCAAAAGGACACAAATATCATTCAGAGTTAGGAAGAATAAACTTGCAGAGACCCCTGCTCAGGGAACGATGCAGTGCTAAGGATGAGCATCACACCACAAAAGCCAGGTTTAAACAAACTTATTCCTCAGCTAATCTCTGCTCTTCCTTCTCAGCCACAGCAGGAGACCTTCCCTTTTTGTCTGCATCCAGTCCAAATCCTCTCCCCTCCCACTTGCCCTGCAAGCCCCGTGCCCCCCTGCCCATAACTGCTCTTGGCTGGTACCTGCTGCCATCGCCACAGGGTTCTTGTGCTTCCTTGCAGGCCAGACACGCGACGTACGGGATCCGCAAGTGTTTCCTCTTTCTGCTGCAGTGCCAGCTGACCCTGGTCATCATTCAGGTGAGTCCTGCACTGGCTGGGAGCAGCACCTGCCTCGGAGGGCAGAGATACCAGAGGGAATGTGGGTGGCTGCAATGGGGCAGCCTTGTGAGGGAGGGAGGTGGGTGACCTTCAGTCGGGTTTACACAGCATGTCCATCCCTCTACCCATGACAAGACCGGTCTCATTTACACTGATTACATATAATAGTGTTCATTAGCACTGTTTTGAGTAGTTACAGATAGAGCCTACATGGTCTCAACCTCATGTTCTTTCTTRTCCCCTTTTCCCTTGAGGAAAAGCATCCCCTGCAGCACCTGCTGCCCATGGAGGGGCTGTGCACTGGCACCCTTGGTAGTGGCTCGTCCCTGTGTTTGGGGGAGGATGGTGGTGTCTGGGGTGACAGGGCTGTCCTACCTTTGCTCACATTCTTCGCTCCGGGTTGCTCCCGGCCAGTTCCTCTCCTGCCTGGTGCAGCTGCCCCCGATCCTCAGCACCACGGACATCGTGTGGCTCTCCTGTTTCTGCTACCCGCTGCTCAGGTGAGTCTGCTGGGCAGGGGGGCATCTCCTGCCTTAAGCTGCCCACTCTCCAGACACATGGACCAGTCTCCAAGCCTCCCTGTGTCCAAGGTAAAAAGGAAGTTGATGTGACCTGCAGCACACTAGAGAGGCTGGAAGGATAATTGCAAACAMCTGCCCTGTCAAGGAGCTCAGAAGCACAGGCAGGAGAACTTATGTACTGCTGTTTAGCCTGGCCTGCAATCAGAGAGCCTCCCTTMTCAGGTGGTTTGAACCCCCAGCTGAGAATAATCTTCTAATTCTAGCACTGTTGCACTCTAGCAACTGTGATGGAGAGCACAGGGTGTCAGGCAAAGGTCAAGATACTCTAGGCAGAGTCACATCACACCATCACACACAGGTTTTCTCTCCCTGTTTACATCTGCCACATGTGAGATCTTCTACGGCATTAACTGGAGGGAGGGAGTGCAAATATTCTGCACAAAAAGGGGCCAGATCAGTGCCAATGCTCCAAGCAGTCTGAGGAGGCTCCTGGAGCTCAAGCGCTAGAGATCCCCCAAAGACAAAAAATCCAGTGCCTGGCCTTGTCACTGAGACYAACTTGCTTTTCTCCAGCATCTCACTCCTGGGCAAGCCCCCCCACAGCTCCATCATGACCATGGCAACGGGAAAAAACCTGACCTCCATTCCCAAGAAGGTAGGTGATGCTTCAGATGAGGATTGTTCTCACCTCCCTTTACTACTTTAGCCCCATGTTGGTGCATAGTTGAGGTCCTGCCCTAGCACAGACCTCCCAGACCTCTTGATAGGTTCTGATCTGTGGTATCTAGCCCAAAGCCTGGCATGGCCAGGATGGGAAGCCCTTACTGCAAACTTGCCCACACAACAGGTCCTCAGGGCAACATCTCAGCTGTGTTGCAGCCACTGACACCCTGAAGGCCTGTGCTGGGTAGGGCGAGACAGACCTGCCCATGTCCCTCCTCCCTCTCCATTATTCACAGACTCAGCACTACTTCCTCTTCTGCTTCCTGCTGAAATTCAGCCTGACCATCTGCTCCTGCCTCATCTGCTTTGGGTTCACGCTGCACGAGTCCTGCAAAGAGGTGAACACTACCAGCCTCAATCTCACAGCCTGCTCCTCCATCATGCTGTACAGGTGAGGAACAGGCCCAAGACACCCTCTCCTTCCAGCACCTGCCCCTCTCGTCCTTCTTAAGCAGGATGATCCACAGCTGAGGGGCTTTATCAGGGTCTGGGTGACCCAGCAATATCATCTCTGCACAGGGCTGGGAACTCTCTCTGGAGCTTTGATAAGAGCTTCCTTGGGGCAAGGTCCTGCCTTGCTCCCTATCACCTCCTGCTTCCAGAACAGCCTCTGTKTTCCTTGCAAGTGGCTGACTCTGAGCTTGCACTTAATTCTCTCAGTTATGAGAGGATGTGGCCCGGCTGGAAACAGGTCAGCCACAGGTCCTGTGGCTGAGTTCTCTCCCCTGTCCCTTCATTTCCTAGCAATGCCGATGGTGCTCCTGACTGGTTTGGGATGTTTTCCAATGCCCTTCTTGTAGCCCAGAAGCTTGTGGCCGGCCTGATTGTCCTGCACACAGGTGAGTCCCTGCTGGCTCCCCTCTACTGTAGTCAAATGCCCAAATGCCACCCTATGAACAGCATCCCCTGCAAACCAGCTAGCAGCACCCTGCAAAGCTCCACAGCACTCCCTGCCTCRGGAGCCCAGCAGCCCTGCTGCTGTTCTGCATGCACCCAGTTCCCCTCTCCCCAAGCAGCTCTGTTTTGGCTGGGAGGGCCTTGGGCCTGGAAGCCTTTTAAATCTCTGGAGGGGGAAGGTAGCCTGTCCTGGCCAACTCGCAGCACCTGTGAGCAGTTCCCTGGCAAAGGGAATTGGATGCTGCCTGCTCCCCATAGCCTCAGAGAGCCTCTGCTCGCTGCCTGCTTGGTGCCAGGCTGAGCACTGGTGTCCAGACCAGCTGACCTGCATCCCGGCAGCTCCRTGTCAGTGGGATGCAGCACGGTGCCCACCGGCACGACTGGGAAATTCTGCCTAGTGTCCTTGAGAYCTTAGAGGCCAGGCAGGGAGGCCCTGCACGTGACTGATGCCATTTGAATGTGCCCAGCTAAAGCAGAGTGAAAGTGTTGTCCTCTGTGGACGACTCTGTGTCTAATGAAGTGTCTCCCCCAGGGCTGGAGCTTTATACTGGTGTGGGTTTGCAGCGTCCCGCTGAGGAGGGTACCCCCCTGCTCCCTAGTTCTGCTCCTTTGCCTGATCTGCATTTAGCACCAGGCTAAGAGCCCCCCTTGACATCCCTGCACAGTCCTGCTGCAGCAGCCCCCTCTGCATATCCAGGGACTTGCCTGGCTTTGCTGTAGGGAACCTGGTCCTGAAGGACCTTGAAAGGAGGGCTGGGTTGAGGAGCAGCTCCACAGCCCTTGGGGCCACGGCGCTCGGTGTGTGTTGCAGAGCAGTTACCTGTGTGTGCTGCTAGGTAACTGCATCTGTCCCCCGCAGTGTTCATATCCATCACCCACGTCCATCGCACCAAGCCGCTGTGGAAGAAGAGCCCCTTCTCCAACCGCTGGTGGACGCTCACCGTGGCCGTCGTGTGAGTACCGCACCCCGGGCCGGGCAGCCGGCACCAGTCCGCTGGCTCCGAGGAAAAGGCTGCTCTAGGGCAAAGGTTTTCCCTGGCAAACTGGTGGCGTGGCCCGTGTTGGGAACGTGGAGGTGGGACAGCTGAGCCTACCCCCAATCTGCAGGTCCCGGGAGCCTCTTCATGCTGCTGATCTTCACTCTGTCCCTCTGTGACTCTAGGTTGCTGGGGCAAGTGGCACAGACTGCGCTGGACCTGAAACTCTGGGAAAACCTCAGTTCTCCACTGACCTTTAGCTCTGTTCCCATCTCTCCAGTCTCATGGCTCCTGGGTTTTCTTTCCCTTGTCCTTGTGGTTATCATCAATGAGATTGTCAAGCTGCATGAAATCAGGTAAGGGGTTGTGGGGATGGGGAGGGAGGGCTGGGACGTTGTGGCCACCAGCCCTTGGGCTGCACATGCCCTGGAGCAGGGTGGAGAAGAGAAAGGCAAAGCTGTTGGTGTSTGAATCACCTGGCTCTCTTGTGCAGGCTCCTGTTCCACCTCTCTGGGACTAAACAATGCAGGGGAGGAAAGAGGGGCAGGGAAGGGCAGCCGCAGTGATTGGGAGCAGGAAGGGAGACCAAAACTCCCTTATCTCCCACCAAGGAGAGGGGGAGAGCCGACATCCACGAAACACCAGCACAGGTCAGAGAGGGCTGTYCTCTGCGGCTCGTCCCGTGGGGACATAGCGGCGGAGGGAACATGTCCTCACGCAGCGCCCAGGCTGTGGCAMTCGCGTTCAGGGCACGTGGCTGAAGCCAGGAATTAGCAGCGGGGAAAGGGACCGGCTGCTCCTCCCAGCGCAGGGAGTCGGTGTTGATGAGCAGCGCTCTGGGAAGGGGCTCAGGCATCAAAGCGCTGGGGCTTCAAGGGAACTGCCATGAGGACAGAAGCCTCTGTCCTTGGGAGGACGTTTTGGACCTTTCTCTGTTGTTCCTGACGGGCTCAGAGAAGGCACCTGGCTGGATCGGGCAGGACCAAGGCTATGAGTCCTRGTCTCTCCTGGCACTGTAGGATCCAGGCCCAGGGCAGATGTTGCCCCTCCTCAGGAACCGCCTCTCCTGCCTTCCTTTTCCCTGTGTACTGACTCTTTCCTCTGCCTCCTGCAGGGTCCGAGTCCGCTACCAAAAGAGGCAGAAGCTGCAGTTTGAAACAAAGCTGGGGATGAATTCTCCGTTTTAGCCCCTCCAGCTCGAGCTCCCTGGGCTGCGCAGCTGCATCCCTACGGAGCAGGAGGCTCCGGGAGTTTCCCCTCGCACATGCAAACCAGGTGGCCTCCTTGCAAAACCCCACGAGCAGCTTGTGGGGGGACCGGGGCAGGGCCCTGCTTGGGGGTCCCCCGGCAGGTTCGCAGCCTTCCCCTGCCCACGGCTGCAGCAGCCTGCAGGCTCCGCTGGCTGCTCCGCCTGCTCTTCCTTTATTTATTTATTACCAGAGGTTTTTTGTGAGTATCGTGGTGATGCTGAAATGAAGCGATTCCTTCTCGCTGTGTGAGCAGATGGAGTTTCCTGGGCCTGCCAGGAGAATCTGGGCCAGCAGGGTTGGCAGGGGGCTGCCGAGGCACAAAAGCTCTGTTGAAATTCCCTTTCCCTCCTTCCCTGTGCTCCTGGCTGCGTGTGCACACGCGCACGCCTGTGCATGGCCCTGTCCACCTCTGGGGCCGGCGTCCCGGGACCTGCCCTCCAGTGCCGCTGCTCTGTTGGACAGGAGAGCAGCAAGGGCCCTAAGAACAAGTGTCTGCGCCTTCCCCTCGTGCTTTGGAGCACAGGGAGCTGGAGGGCAGCTCTGCGTGGCYGTAGGGAGGCAGCCCAGCCTCCTGCAGCCCCCCTGGATCTGCTCCCGCTCTTAGAGGAGCTGCCACGAGGTAGGTTTGGAGCTGGCCTCGTCTTGCTCGAGAGGGCAACAGCAATAGTTGTAGATAAAGCCTAAGCCCTGCCTGTCCTGCCCTGGGGGAAGTGTCTTTGTGGGCAGCGTTTCCGCATCTGCTGGTTGTAAATAACRTGGAGCTGGGGGCGCCTCCCTCCCCAGCCTGCGACGCTGCCCCATTCTTGCTGGAGCCCCCCACAATCAGGTCTCCTGTGCGAGAGCTTGGGAGCGTCCTGCCCTAGTGCTGCCCTCCCAGCTCTTCCCTCCTTGCCTGGAGGTCTCTCTCTCTTCTCCTCCTCCTGGGGGAGCCTTTCCTGGGCTTGTGCAGGTGCCAGCCCTGGTTTCCACCAGCGCCACACAGGGGCACTTAAGATTTTGGAAGACTCTGCTGCCCCTGTGCGCTCGGGCCATCAGGGCCACAGGGGAGCTCCCAGGACCCTCACAGCCAGGGAAGCTCTCCGCTCCCTCCTTCATTCTGAGACCTGAGCGACTCGGGCAAACCCCGGCGCTGTTTCTGCTTCCAATGCAACTCCACACTACACGGCCGCGGTTCCCCGCGCGCACACGAGGCAAACAAACGGCTGCGGCTCCTTCCTGGAGGGCAGGGAGCTGCAGCCCCCTGGCCCGGCCCTCCCGCTGCCCGTCGTCTTCCTCGCGTTTCCACGAGGGCAGGGAGCTCGCACGGCGCCGCACAGCGCAGCACCCACCTCTGAGCAATACCCTCCTCCCCGGCCCTGGCCCCGGCTGCTCTCCCGTCCCGAAGAGCCGGCTCTGGCGCCAGGGAATCCGGCTGCTYTTTGTGATCCGCCAGCTGCCCGGCRGGTGGGACACGCGGGACACRTCCTCCTCCAGCCACGGAGCTGCTGTTCCACAGAGCCACGTCTGCCCCGCGTGGGGCTCCTGCTCTGGTGACAAAAGGCAGCAGCTCCGGGGYGTCCTGCTGGCCCCATCTCCAGAGGACACCTCCGAGGTCTCCTCTGCGTTTATTTTATCTCACCCTCCTTGCCCTGCTAGACTCGCGTGGAGCAGAGGTGTCTGAATGGAGCCTTCTGGACGGTCTTGCCAGTGCCACCCCTTAGGGCGCGCATGGCTTCAGAACGAAATTTCCTACATCAAAAGGTTTTTAAATGGTGTATATTTTATATTAAATTTTTTTTGGGATGTATGTAAAAAATATTTGATTTGTATTAAAACTTGTAAATTGTATTAAAAAAGAACAAACCCCATCCCCAGCGTCTGAGTGACACTAAGGAATTGTCTGGGATAAGGAGCTCAGGGAGAGCGGGAGTGAGTCGGTGCCCAGCAACGCCCTGAGGTGAAACCCGGGTGGCTGCTTGGGGACGAGGTGACAGTGACAGGACCAGTGTCTGCTTAGAAACGTGGCCTGGGAGGCTGGCACTGCTGCGGTCGGCTCCTGGGCCCCTTTTCCCTGCTTTCTGCCCAGATTTGGACAACTCTGTCCACCTCCGTGTCCCTGTCTGTAGCGTAAGGGCACTCACCGCTCGGGCTCRACGTGGCTGCTGCGGCTCCTGCTGCGGACGCCGCGGCGCTCGTGGCGGCTGCTGCGGCGCTGCCGGCGCTCCCAAGGGCCCCGCGAGAGCTGGAGGAGGCGCCTGGGCTGAAGGCAGCGGCGAGGAGGAGGCCCGGGCGGCCGGCGAGCAGGATCCGCGTCCCTGCGGCCGCGCTCGGCGCCTCCAAGCTCCAAGGACGGAGCGTCCTTCGGCAGCCAAGGCCAGGAATGCAGTCTCCTTCTGTGGAGATCTCCCAAACCCACCTGGATGCGACCGGGTGTCYCCTGCTCTGGGTGTCCCTGCTGGAGCAGGGGCTTGGACTGGATGATCCCCAGAGGTCCCTTCCAACCTCAACCATCCTGGGATTCTCTAATCCGCAGCCTGYGCTTTCAGGCAGGACGAAGCTGATCCGCGAGGCCTCCGCACGGGACACGAGCTGGTGAGATGAGAAGTGAAGGAGCCAAACAGGCAGAGCTATCAAAAGGGTAAAATAGGCCCCGCTGTTTAATTGAACTTAGTCTTAATGGATGTTAGTGGAAAACAAAAAACACATGATTAACACAAAGAGAGCAGATGGTTTAGAATCTGCTGTCAGTCTGGTGATTACACGGGCTATTTTCTTCCCGCGCTGCCTTGCTGCATGGAGCAGGTGCAGCCAGRGTCAGTTAGTCCCAGTTGCAGTGTACATAACTTACATACACACCATACAGTAGCTTCAAAATAGAGATCTAGAGCTTAAAAAATAGGCTTTCTTCTGCAAAACCAAAGGTTGAATTCCCTTATTGATAAAGAGAGCAGCCTGCTGCTGCCCTCAGGTGGCTCAGACAGCGACACGGCTCCACCCCAGTGTCCTCTTAGCCCTGACCCTAGAGTACAAGACCTGCAATTCTGATTAGTAAATATATATAATAAATCACATTTAAAATATATACATTGGCCTTAAAAAAAAAAAGACATTTACAGTTTATCAACATTGGAAAAGAAAAAGACCCCTGGCTTGTCCCAGGTGGATTTCTGTAAGAGTAAAAATCAGTTTTAAAAGGTTYCTGCAAACCTTTTCATAAAGTGCCACGGGTTGCAGCTACTTAAAACAGTCGGGTTCAAGACGTAGCACTTGTCTGTCAGACAGGGTCGCTTCAATACACACAGTGTGATGTGGAAGACACAGAGGAACCCGCTCGCCAGGCTGCAGGTGCCCTCAGCAGCACTCAAACTGACCTCAGGTCCCAGCCAACCGTTATTAAAAAAAYGAAGGTCCTTTTTGGGGCCTTTTTCCTTTTCGGGGGGCTCTCTCATCCTCCCCGTTTCCCCTCGGAGCCGGGCTGGCCTGTCCCGCTGGCTGCGCCCACGGCAGCGCCGCAGAGGCTCCCTGGGGCGCGTCCGGGCGGCCTCTCCGCTCCCTTTTCAGTGTTGGGGGACGCGGGGCTGCAAAGTCGGGAATTTCGGTCACAAACTGCCCMCCAAAGCAGAAAGCAACTGCCTCTTCAGGCACCTTCTCCCTTTGCCATTTGCTTTTGTGATGGTCAGGATTTTTTTCTTTTTGAAGGTTGGATTTCCTTTTGTTTGGGATTTTTGCAACAAATGGCACTCCAGTACAACGGCGGCTTCCCTTCTGGCGCTCCGATGCTTTCATTTGCTCGGCATGCCGAGCACAAGCCAAGTTCGGGGCTCTTGGACATATTTAGCCATGCGCTACCGAACGGATCCCGCTGGAGGGATCTGCCTGCCGGCCGCTCCTACCGCTCGTGTCGCCTCGTCGGAGCGGCGAGGAGGCGCCCGCCGCGTCCCGCGCGCGGCAAAGGTCACCGCGGAGCCAGGGCCACTGCCTCCTGCACTGAGGATGGGGGGAAAAGGGACCGTTTTCTCCTCCCGGAAAAGGAGGAGAGCGACATGAAATAAAATAAAGAGGCGCTGCCGGCTCCGGTGGCTCTGGCGGGGCCGGTGGCCGGCGCAGGGCGGAGGCCGCAGCCTCCCGGCGCCGCACGAGGGAGCTGCGCCCGGGGTGCAGCCGCGGGTCCCGCGGTGGGGATTTCTATCCGCTCGGATTACACGCTGCCTGACGCTGACACGCTCGGAAAAGCGGCGAAGAAAGCAGGAAGGCCCCTTCTCACTCCGCGAGCTGCCAAGTCGCGACAAGCCCTGTCTTCTTTCAGCTGCTCGCAGGCCCTGCCGGGGCGGGAGCCGCGCAGTAAATAGGCAGCGCTGCCCGGGGAGGTCTCTCCTCTGACACATTGTTGGCAGGGGATAAATAACAGGAGGCAGGACTCGGCCATGCAGCGAGGGGAGAGAAAGGTCCCTTGTGGAGGCTCTCTGCTCCGTGTGGGGTTTCCTCGGGGCCTCCAGGAGCGCGGGGCAGCCCCTCTGGGCTCTGCTGCTGCCAGGCTGGTGGGAAATTCCTCGACCCCCTCAGGAAGCAGCCCGGAGCGTTGGACACGGAGCCGGGCAGCCCCGGGGCACGTGAGGAGGGACCCGCCGTACTCCTAGCCGTGGTGTCAAGTGCAGGAAGGGAGGAAGATCTGGAGACGCTACCCGAGAGCCAGATGGACGCTCCCCCGTCACCAGGGGCATTGGCAGAGCAGCCGGAGGCGGCGACGGGAGGCAGGGAGGGAGCCTCAGTCCAGCATGGCGTCCAGCTGGTCGGCCAGGTCGTCGAACATGTTGCTGATGTCCTCCAGGATGTTCTTGGCCGAGTGCACGGCGCCGGGGCGGCTGGCAGGGAGAGCGAGCGGCGCTCAGAGGGCTGGTGGGGCTGGGGGGAGCCGGGCTGGCCCCGACCCTCCTCACCACAAGCTAAGAGCCCTTCCACCCTCTCCACTGTGGGGGTCTCGTCGGGGTGTTCTCCTCTCCCTCCCATCCCACCCCAGGGCTCTCCTCTCCCTCCCATCCCGCCCCAGGGCTCTCCTCTCCCTCCCATCCCGCCCCAGGGCTCTCCTCTCCCGCCCAGGGCTCTCACCTCTCCGCCTCTTTGGCCGTTATCTCCTTCTCCGCAGCCTGCAGCGCGGCGGCCAGCGTGCAGTTGGTCTGTTCCAGCCGCTGCTGCGCCAGAGCGGCGCCCGGCGCGGCCGCCGAGGGCCTCGCCAAGCTCTTGCCGCCGGCCTCGGGGCTCCGGGCGCCGGCCGGGGCTCCCATCGCATCCGGCAGCGCCTCGGCAGCCGCCCAGGGAGCCACCGTGTGACGGGAAGGCTGCAGCACCTGCTGGTAGATGGTCTTGGGCCCGGAGAACACCAGCTTGGTGGAGGCCACGGACGTGTGTTTGGCTGGAACATCTGTGAAGGAAGAAGCCCTGTTGCACCTGGCAGCGTGCGCTCCCTTCCCAGCGCCAGCTTCCTGGGGATGCGGGAGCCGACCCCGCCAACGGAGCGGCAGGTCCCGCYGCCACCGGGGATCCCCCGCGGGGCAGGATCTCCGCAGGCCCCTACCTGCCGTCGGCGTCCTCAGCACAGCGGTGCCCAGCAGCTCCGCGGCGCCGGCGGCTTTCACAGGGCTCGCTGCCTTCTTGATGCCCTTCTCCAGGGACAAGATGCTCTTCTCGATCTCGGCGATCCTGAACTCCAYGTTGTCGTCATCGAAGGCATCGGCGGCGAGGCCGGCGGGCGGCTGCGTCCTGTGCGTGGCGGGGCCCGCGATGCTCACGGCCTGTGCTTGCGCGTACTGCGGCGCCGGGGCCGCCGCCTCCGYCTGCCCCGCCACGCCGAACGCCTTGAGCACCGTCTGCAGCGGCTCCCGCTCCTTGAAGCGCGGCCTGCGCTTCACCGTGTCCGACTCGGTGAGGTTGAACTCCAGCACCGGGGGCTCTTTGGGGCCAACGGGCCCCCCGGGCTCCTTCTCGGTGGAGCAGGGAGGGTCTGTGGTCTGGGAACTGGGCTCTGAGTCCAGAGCGGCTGCGTCGGCCTTGAGATGCCCSGCGGGTTTGGGTCGCTGTTTGATGGTTAAGTTGCCTTCTTCTGCAAAGGGGATGCACTCGCTGGAGCTGTTCTGGGAGGACGAGGTGGAAACCTCGGCTTTGGCCTCCTCCTCTGTGTCTGAGCTGGCATCTTCCCACCTGCCCTGCAGAGCCTCCGTCATGGGCGCGCTGGGCTCACTGACCGTCCGTCTCCGGGGCTTGCTGCTCTCGAGGGCGTCCCTGGCGGCCTCGGCAAGCCCGGCCTGGCCGGAGTCATTGGCGCTGCAGGGCTGACTGGCCTCGCTCGCTCCGCAGGGACAGTCCTGGGCCACATGCAGGGGCTTTGGGGCCAGGAGGGGCTTGTGTGGACTGGGCCCGGGTGGCTCCTCCAGTGCAGCCGCCAGGCTCCTCACCGTCCTGCCGGGGGACGCGGCGACGCCGGCCGTGCCGGGGGCGGCCAGGGGCCGTCGTTCGGGCTCGGCGGCCGGCTCGGGGTCTGCCTCTGCAGCCAGGGTGCTGGAGACAGAGCTGAGGCGCTTGGGCGGCGGCGGCGGCGGGCCCTTGCGCTTGGCGCGGATGGCGAAGGACTGGCTGCGGGTGACCTTGGCCTCGGCTTGCAGATAAGCCCGGGGCGTCTGGCTCCGGCCCGGGCGCCGTGTCAGGGTGGCGTAGGAGCCCAGGGTGCTGGTGCACACGCCGTCCTCCTCCTCGTGCTCCCCGTCCGACAGCGCGTAGCGGTTCAGGCTGTGYGATCGCTTCTTGTGCTTGGCGCCGTCGCTGCCGCTGTGCTGCTCGGCGGGCTGCCGGGCGCCCGGCGCGGCGGCCGCCTCCGCGGGGCCGCACTGGCTGTGCAGGTAGGAGAAGGTTTTCTGGGCCGCCGCCTGCAGGCCGCTCTTCTGGCTGGGGGAGAAGGAGGCGAAGGGCTGCGCCAGGCTCCGGGGCTGCTCTGCCCCCAGCAGGGAAGGGGCTGGTGGGGATTTCGAGGAGACGTGGGGGTACATGAAGATGTACGGGGTGGCCGCCTTGCCGGGGGTCTGCGGCGGGGTGCAGGGGGCAGCTGCTTGCGGCCCTGCAGGGCCAGCGCCCCGGGGAGCCGCTGGGCGCGGGTGCTGGTCCGTGCCCTCGGGCACGTTCCTCTCCTTGAGCGGGCTGCCCCCGCAGCCGCTGGGCGCCGCCGGGGAGCCGGGCTGGCCGCCGGGCTCGGTGCTGGGTGGGCCCGGCAGCCTGGCCGGGCTCTCCTTGCTGCGGGGCTGCGCACAGGACTGCCCGCTGCTGCCGCTGCTCTCGCCGCTGCCCAGGCTCTCCTGCGAGGGGCTGGAGAGGCGCCGCGACAGCACGTTGTCCTGCGAGTGCCCCGAGCCCCGGGAGCGCACCCCGATGCTCTCCTGGCTCCGCGACATGCCCTGGCTGCTCTTGATGCCGAGCGTCTCGTGGCAGCTGTTGGACATGGCYGTCTGCAGCTCGTAGCTGAGCTCGCTGTCCTGGAACGTTGTCATCTTGGGCGTGTGTGGGGACTGGCATTCCCCGTTCTCCAGCGACTCGATGGTGACAATGTCCAGGGAACCGGGGACCTTGCGTCTTGCCAGCGTTGCTTCYGCTTGGTTCAAGCTTTTGCGGAGGTCTCTGAGCTTCTTCACAGCCAACATGATCTTCTTCTGGTGGCCTGTGGGAAGGTTGTGACAGAAGGGGCACATTAGATTGGCTCTGTCTCTCCAAGGCCTTTGATTCCTGGCCTGGAAGAGCTGTGCTCATGTCACCAACCAAGGCAAAGGCCTTTGGGTTACCCAAACTTTGCCAACAGGAGGAGACAAACTCCTGCCGATGCCCACGTGGCACTGGCTGGCATCAGGCTCAGCCAGGCTCCAGCCTGCCTGCAGAGTCTTTGGAAACTGCCATGAACCACCCATTTTGGGTGTGCAGGCCGTGCCGTGCACCGCCTGAGGGAGGCCCATGCGTTCCTTGCCAGGAAACCTGGCCACCCCAGGCCACCCCGTGTCCATGTCAGGGACGCTCCCATCAGCCACTCACCCAGCTTGTTGATGCCGATCTCCTGCAGATCTTCCCAGGTTAGGTCCGTCACGATGGTGATGGAGTCGTAACCGTTGTTCACCAGCTTTTTGTGGTACTGGGGCAACCCGATGGCACTGAGCCAGTCCATCAGGTCAGCCTGCAAAGAGAGCCGAGACGCCGGCGTGAGCATCGAGGGACAGGTYGCACTTTCATCCATTCCCTCCCTGCCTGGGAGACCTTTTCTGGCCTTTGTTGGGGTTTCTTGGGGTGGCCAGCRACAGGACAAGGGGAAATGGGGACAAATCGAAACCCAGGCAGCTGCATTTCCATGTGAGGAAGAACTTCTTGACTGTGAAGGTGCCAGAGCCTTGGCGCACGTTCCCTAGGGAGGCTGTGGAGTCTCCTTCTCTGGAGATCTTCCAAATCCGCCTCGGACGCAACCTTGTGCAATGTGGTCTAGGTGTCCCTGCTGGAGCAGGGGGTTGGACTAGAAGACGATCTCCATCCTGTCCCATCCCGGAGCAGGGGCAGCTCAGAGGAAAAGCCTGGGGGGAAGAGGGTGCTGCCCCACAGCCCCGGGCTGCAGACACTCACCGGGATGTAGCTGGGCAGCCACTCGGCGATGCTGAGCTGCCCGATCTCRGTGGAGATCTTCTTCCTGTGTCCCGGTTTGGTGACTCCGATGGCGGTGAGGTCCTGGTGCAAAGAGTGGAGCTGCGCTGAGCAGCAGCATCGCGGGCGCGGGACAGGGGGTATCTGCTGCTGGTGCCTGGTGGGGGCACGGGCAGCGCTGGGCAGAGGAAGCAGCTCTCTTACCTCCGGGGTCATGCGGCTGATGGTGGGGACGTCGTAGCCGGCGTTGAGGAAGTTGGCCGTGTACGACTCCAGCTGGAACTCCCGCAGCCAGTTGTAAATGGCCTCTGCGTCCTGCACGGAGGACAGAGCAACAAGTCACCGGCGATGGTGGCCGCAGGGGCTGCAAGGAGCTGGCTGCTTTGTGCAGGGGCACAGTCCCTGCTTGTGTAAAACCCGCTTGACCCCATCACCCCCAAGACTCCAGTGTCCCCAGTGCAGTGAGAGCTGAGCTGAGAGCCTCAGGCATATCCGTATGGCCTCTCCTGCCCCAACACGACAGGCCTGGCCAGGAGAAACATCCCCTCCCCAGCCATGTCCCCGGTGGCTCCGTTACCTTCCCCTCGAGGAGCTGCTCCGGGCGCAGGAACTGGTGGGAGAAAACCTTGTCTCCAGCGGGGCAGCTGCYGGGGCTCTGGAGCCCCAGTGGCCCTGGGCGGAAGGCAGAGGGGAGTGTTGGGGTGGTGCCACATGCAGCCCAACCGCGGGGGCCTCGCGGTGTCCTGCGGCGCCGGGGCACCAGGACGCCCCTCACCTGCCGTGCAGCCGAGCTGCCCGTTGCGGGGCTCCGCTCCCACCACGTGCTGCTGGGGGTCATCGCCGGCGGAGGGCAGCGGCTGCGGGACAGGAGAGGCCACTGGAGCAGCGATTCCCACTGGCCACGAGCCTTGTCCCACCTCAGGGGTGCCAGGTCCAACTTGCACCCATCTCTGCGAGGGAAAAGGGGAGGTCCCCACCCTGGGCATGATTTTAAGCTCTGGGACTTATCAAGAGATCTGTGGGACGGGAGTTGAGATGGGCTCAACGTGGGGAGCAGGATGGGGGAGAATTGGGGGCACCCAGCACCTACCCTGGCGTTCTCGATGAGGATGCTGGTGCTCTGCCCGTTGGTGCCCTCGGTGCTCTGGCCGCTGCCGGCGCTGCGGATACTGCCGATGCTGCCCTCGCTGCCCACGCTGTTCCTGTCTCCTGCTGTTTGGGGCAGAAATAGGGCACATCAGCCACCCAGGCCCACCGGGACCTTCCCAAGTGCCACAAGGCGCCAAGCGCCCCAGCAAGGTCCCTGCTTCCCTGTGGGGCTGTGGCCTTGGTGGCCGCGAGGGAGCAGGCCCTGCGTCGGCCAAGTCGGGGGCACCAGTCTCACCCGAGAGCCGTCCGGCCACCACCGATCCAGCAGCGCCTCCCACCTCCCAGCGCCCGGACGCGGCCGGGACACCCCGGGAGCCGGCAGGATGCAGGAGAGGCAGCGGGGACGTGGCGGGGCCGAGGGCACGGGGAAGGACGGGGGCTGCTCTGCGGGCTCCCCTACACTCCACTGCCCTGCAGCTGCTCCCCGTCACGAGGCAAGTCCTTCCCGGCTCGCCCTGCGTGGCGGGGCTGGGACAGGGCCAGGCCCCCAGCCCGTCTCCCTCCGGCAGCCCCCTGACCTGGGCAGTCAGGGCCCGGCAGCGTCCGGGTTAGGGCGACGTGGCCGTGGGCCGCGGGGCCGCTCGGGGCCGCCGGCTGTGGACACTCGTCGGGGAGGTGCCGCGGCACCCCGGGGGGGCCCTGGCGCTGCTGCGCGGGCGCCGCGCGGGGGAGGACCGAGCCTGCATTCAAACACAAAACACCGGCGTCAGAGGCAGCGAGGGGCGGGCGCCGCTCACCCCAGGCCAGGCACGGCCGCCTCTGGGGGCACAGGGACACAGGGATGCAGGGACACGGGGAGCAGCAGGCACTGCGGCCTGGTGTCACTCCTGCCACACGGCCAAGGCTCCTCCTGCCACCCGGTGCCCGAGCCCCAGGGCCCAGATTGTCACTGTGTTGATCCCACGAGCCCTCCCTCCCACCCCAYGTCCTTCTCCTGCCCACTCTAGCTAGCCAGGGCTGCGGGGACCTGTCCTAGGAGCAGTGCCAGGAGGGACGGGATGGCTTCACAGGGGCCCCATTTCGACATGTCCAGGACGGGTCCTGACCTGTGCGCTTGCTGATGACTTCAGCGATGGAGGGGGGGAAGTATCCGACCCGATCGGTGCCTTTCTGAGCATCGTGGATATGTCCCTTCCACCGCCCGTCTGCGTGCTGCTCCAAGACCTGTGGAGGAGGAAGACGGAAGGGGCTGGCACCCTGGGGTGGGAGGTGATGGGAGGCATGYGGAGCAGGGACCCCCAAGGCCTCACCGTGATGACATCTCCTGCCCGGACGTTGAGAGCAGTTGGGTCATGGAGGTTCCAGAAATCCTTTAACGCTCGGACCTTCAGGATTCCTGATGCCTCTGAAGACAAGGGATGGAGGGAAGAAAGGAGGTGGCAGAGAGCAGGGAAGCAAGAGAAGAGTTTGGATGGAGAACAGTCCAGAGGAAAGGAATAGGAGGGAAATACACAGAGAGGGGAGAAGGTTAGTGTGGCTGCAAGACCTTGATCTCTGAGGATCCCTGCCTGCTGAAGCCCACACGAGGAGGGCAGCATGTGAGGGGTGGTGATGTCCACACTCAGAGCCAGGACGGTTTAGGGCAGTGAGGGACAAGGAGCACCACTGAGGTCCCACCAGGACTCTGCTCTTGGCACCGGCCGAGGCCTCAGTGCAAACCAGCCCCACCTCACCTCTCAGCAGCTGCTTGATGTCCTTGCTGGCGTGCGAGGTGGTGAACTGGTTCACGATGTCCAGTGCTGTCTGGTTGTAGGTGTTCCTGATGTTCACATCCACGCCGCCCTGTCCAGGAGGAGATGCCCTTGGTGCCAGGCCATGGAGCAAACGCTGCCCCAGGACGGCGGCGGCTCCGTCTCTGCTGCAGCACCGTGATCGACATCAACCGGCACGGGTGCCAGGCGGAACCGGCAGCGCCGCAGCAGCCGAGCCATGGGGCAGGGCAGGAGGTGAGGGCTGCAGCAGCGGGGCCCTCGCGCGAGCTCACCTCCAGCAGCAGGCGCACCACCTCGGTCTTGCCGTAGAGCGCGGCCTCGTGCAGGGCCGTGCCCGTCTTCGTCTGCTTGTTGATCTCGATGCCGGCTTTCAGCAGCTGCCTGGGGGAACGAAGGAGAGGGACAGAGCCCCTGAGCAGGGTGTAAGCAGGGGGATGCGGCCAGCAGTGCTCCGGGGATCCTCTCCATGCACTGAGGCCTCGGAGATGAGGGACTGAACCACTTAGAGGGAAGGTGGATTTGGGAAGAAGCAGGACCRAGTCTCTGGCGGTGCCTGGGGCACGTGGGGCAGGCACAGCAGCGAGGACAGTTACCTGATGATCTCCTTGTGCCCGTTCTTGGCCGCGAGGTGCAGYGGGGTGGTGTAGTTGGGGTCAGCAGCGTCCTTAGACTGGCCCTCTAGGAGGGCGACGCACAGGTGGCTGTTGAGCAGCAGCTGGGCCACCTACGAGGGGTGACGGGTGAGGCAGGGACCCTGCGCCCCGCTGTGCGCAGCCCACGGGTGCGACTGCACCCCGCTGCATTGCCCCCGGGCTCCCTGCAGCCTGACCCGCCTCGACCCGTCCGTGCTGCAGCCCYGGCCTTGGCCGGACACAGGCGGCGCTTGCGGAGGCCTTGCTGGTGGGAGGCCGTGGGGCAAGGGCTCCCGAAGGGCTTGGCAGCCAGGAATAGGCTTCCCATAATTGGGCTTTTCAGACCAAGCCCTAAAAAGCTCCGGTCTCTCCAGGCCCGGAGTGGCAGTCGGCATCTCGGGGCAGCCCAGCGGCACAGAGCAGTTATTTTTACTGCCCTGTTTATAGCTGCAGATATTACAGATACTCCAAAAATGGAAATATCCTGGCGGTCCCCTCCCTGGCGGGGCACGGGACGGTCTGGGGGCTGCGCTATGCGGTGCTATGTGGCCGGGCCAGGGTCTCCTCGGGCMCGAGCAGCCCMGTCCCCRTGAACACAGCGCGTCCGTCCCTGCYGGCYGAGCCTGGCCATGCTCAGGGCTTGTGGGGGTCAGTGAGCTCAGCCTAGCTGTGCTCAAACGGGAGCAAGGCRGGGAGGGAGCAGCGGCGCGCCGGGAATGAGGGCTCCCGGCTGCCGGCCCGGTAGGAGAGGGACTTGCAGCTCCCGTGCTGGGAGTTGGGAGGAGGCAGGAGCTGCCAGCAAAGCACCAGGGYCCGGAGAGCAGTGTCGCGCGGGCCCAGGGATGTCCCCTCCTGCCGGAGCAGCCCCTCGGTCCCACTGCACTGCCCTGAGCAACGCCGGGGTCGCCGCGCTCACCTTGAGSCGCCCGAACTCGCAGGCCAGGTCCAGGGGGGTTTTCTTGGCCTTGTTGACGAGACAGGGGTTGGACTGGTGCTGCAGCAGCATCTCCGACTGCGGGGAGCAACGCGGCCGGGCTCAGTCCCTGCCAGCCCCGCGCCCAGCCTCCCGCAGAGCCAGGGCGACGGCGCTCGGCGCCGACCCGCGGGCACGCGCGGGGCTCACGCGGGACGCCCGCCCTCACTCACCACCTCGTAGTGGCCGTACTGTGCCGAGAGGTGCAGCGGGATCTGCCCGTCCTGCGAGGCCATGTTGACGGAGGCGGCGGCCCGCAGCAGCACGCGCACGGGCTCCACGCGGCCCTGCCACGCYGCGTAGTGCAGGGGCCGCATCCCTGCCGAGAGAGGGGCTGGCAGGGYGGCGGCGGGGACCCCGCGGCGGGAGCCAGGGCACGGCCAGCGCGGGCACCCCGGGGCGTGCAGGGACACCCTTACCGTTGCTGTCCTTGATGTCGACGGTGGCCTGCGCCTCCAGCAGCAGGGCCAGGAGCTCCAGGCTGCCGCCCAGGGCCGCGTGGTGCAGAGCCGAGAACCTGTGGGGGCGAGAGGGGCTCAGCCATGGCCATGGGCAGCGCCCGGACGGGCCTTGGTGCCTAAAGCGCCCGGCAAACCCGCTGGCACGACGGCAACRTCTGCCCATGCCCCCCGGCGCCCGAGTCACCCCCGCAGCGGCCTCGTCTCCCCGCCCGTGCCAGCAGGGATGCCAGSAGCCCACGGCGGGGAGCGAGGCCAGCGGCCGTGAATGAGCCCTGTGTTCGGGGCTGTGAGGGAGGCCTGTCTGCGCGGAGTCCCCCCAGGCGTCACGTGAAGGGCCCTGGCCGAGGGAGGAAGCCAGCGCTGCCGGGGCTTCCATGGCCTCCAGGAGGCCGGGGCTCGCACGGCCTCCAGGGCACCCGGGGAACTGGCAGCCGATGCCGGCACGGCCCTTCCCTGAGCCCCRCCGGCCCCCATCCCCTCCAGCCATCGGCCCACGGTCCTGGGCCGCCCTCAAGGCCCCGTTCGGGGCCGCACGGCACATTCCCGTGTTCTCAGCCCTTGTGGCATCTCCCAGCGACAGGAGCAGCGCAGAGCTGCCTCAGGGGCGGCGCTCCGTGAAAACGCTCCCACTCCTGCCTCCAGCTCCAAAACGCTTCCTGGGACCGGGAGCCGGTGCCCAGGGTGTCCTGGGGACCGCGGCAGAGCCAGGCTGCTGCCTCCAGCGACACGGCCCCCGTGTCACCGAGCCCACAGCTGAGCTGACAATTAAAACCAAAACACCAAGGGTGGCAAACGCACCACCCCTGTCCCGACCCTGCCGGATCTGCCCAGCGCCAGCCCTGTGCCTTGCTGCAACTAGATCTATCCTTCTATTACTGCATTTTTTTTTWMATTGCATTACATTAAGCTACATCTGCAGAGAATTATGCTGAGACAAAGCCACGCTGCACATTTCAAGCCCCKCATCGGCCAGCTCGAACTCGGCACCAACTGACACTTCCTACCGAGCCCTCTGAAGGAAAACATGCAGAAATTAGGTACAACACTAATGCACAAAACAATGCTAATACGTTACGGGTCAGAGTTAATGCAGCAAGAAAAACGTGCTTATTTGTTTTATGGGCCTCTGTGGTTTCCTTAACTCTCAGCACCCTGCTTATTAAGTGCTTGGATTTTGGAAGTGATGAGCTACACAAATATGCTGCGGTCACTCAGCAAGCTCCTCTTTCCTTCCCCTACCTCCCTGCGTGCAGGGATTTTGCTCTCGGGATATGAAGGGCAGACACAAGCACGTGCTGCGGCCGAGCGCACGGGGCGCCCCGTTTTACTGCCTTCCTCCCACAGTGCTGCTGAGGGGGATGTGGGAGAGCTTTAGGAAGGATTCTGCTGTGTAAGTGCCCAGGGAGGATGGCCCTGAGCGCGGATGCAGGTGGGTTTGGACTCATTGCCCCTGGCTTTGGGGAGCAGCTCCATCCCAGGATGCTCCTGCGAACAGCACCCATTGGATGCAGAACTACCCAGGTACAGGAGAGCCGCGCTGTGAACCCCCCGGCCTCTCCCGAACCAGAGCCGAAAGCAGCAGCTGAGCAAGGTGAGAGCTGACCCAACAGTATCCGCGGGCCGGGCCGTGCTGAACTCACCCGTCCGCATCCTGGTAGTTCACGTTGAGGCGTTTGGCAGATCCCAGGAGCTCTGYGGAAGGAAGAGGAGGGCGTCAGAGGCGGGCAGGAGCCCCGGGCGGCCCTGCGCGTCTCCCCGGTGCTGCCGCCCTCGCAGACCCGCCGCGGCGCCAGCGGCACCGGCTCGAGGGCCTCCCGGACCTGCCGGCGCGCAGGACAGCGCCTGCCCCATGCCGGCCTCCCGGCCCTGCCGCCTCTGGCCCTCCACACAYGCAGCCCCGGCTCCAGCTCAGCCTGCCCCGGCCTCCGTGCCCCAGCAACCCCCTGCCCCACAGGGGACGGGCCCCGCGGCTCCCATCGCCCCAGGACAGCACCTCCGTCCCCCCCGTGCGGGACGCTCCCATTTATAGGAAGCCGCTGCCAGGCCCTGGCCCACGGAGCGCGTGGTCGGCATTGTTACGGTTCGAGCCTCTCAATAYGGGGATTGTGGCAGCGCCGAGAGCCCCGTCCCCTGCCCCGTCCTCCTGCCCGGGGGCCGTTCAGCGGCACAGGACGCTCCCCCCGCCCTCGTCACAGRCTCCCTGCTCCTGCCCGCAGTGAATTCCAATGAATTCTTCTCTCCCACACAGGGAGAGGACGTTTTATTCTCCACCGAGGGGCCGCGAGCGGATTAACATCTGTGGAATTTGAGCGCCAAGTGAAAAGGCAAAGAAAGGAGGGAGGAATGCGGGGGGCACAGGATGCCGGCGCGGCGCCTCGGCTCTGCCAGGCAGCCACGGGCACCGGCGGCCGAAAGGGCCACCTCGGACCCACTGCAGGTCACTGGGATAGGGACAAAATYCCTCCTGGCTGCCAGAACCGGGCCCAGCTCCTGGCCTGGCTCCACATCCACCTGCTCCTGCACCTCTGTCACTCTTCTGCTTCTCTCCCATCTCACACAAAGGTCCCATGCAGGAAAAGGCCCAGAAAGGCTGCAGGACCAACAAGAGACATAACCCTTTCCACAGGAAATGGGGCCACCTCACTTATTAAGCAAGTGGGTAATTAAAAGGAAACCAAGTACTGGTGTGTTCATTACTGCAATTTAAAGTGTTTGGTAAACATGCTCGTTAAGGCAGAACATTCAGCGGCTGCTGGGGGAGGTTCAGGACCAGTGGTCACCGCAGCGGAGATCAGGATGGGATCTCCATGATGAGCAGTTCCAGGGGCTTTTCATCCTCAAAGCACGAGAAGAGGGGGTCACTTCGTGCCGCGTTTCAGCTTCATCCATTCAAAGTCTCCGGAGGAACCTGCTCCCCGGGGCCTGGCGCTCAGTGCGGCTCTCCGCTGCTCCTTCCAGCCCGTTCTCTCCAGCAAGCTGGAGATTTGGGTTCCTATGAAGGAAGGGCAGCTTCCCGCACGGCTCGCTGGATTGCACCAGCACCCCGGGCATTGGGGCTGGCCAAGCGAAGCGGCGCCGYGCCGGCCCTTCCCACACCGAGCCGGGTCCGCGCGGCTGCCGCCTAGGAAAGAATAACATCTCCCGCCTAACCCGGCTGCTTGTGAGTCACGGAGCGGCAATAAACACCAAACCCCGCAGTGCCTGCTCTGCAGAGCTGCTTTCGGAGCCAGAAGTGCACTCCGATGGCACGGCAGAGCCGGGAAAGCGCCGCTGCCGTGGGACAGACCTCACCCTGCCCCTCTCGCAGCCTCGGGCTCACCCTGCCGCAAGCAGCGTTTCCAGGGACGCGACAGATAAACCGATCGGTTTATCTCCTTCTAAACGCGTTTTTCAAGGAAGCAACAGGCCTCGAATGCAGAGCAGAGAGCTCAGCTCTTGCTCGGGAGCAACGGGGCATCACCGCAAGTGCTGGGAGCCAGGAGCCGAAGCYGAGCCGTGATGCTGGAACCACCAGGTAGACATGGGGAGACAGTGTCCATGGAGCCTGGGAGCACCCGGCGGAGGCAGCAACAGCCCCAAYGCCCAGCTCCTCCACTTCAACTCCTCTCCCTGAGGAACCTTCCTCGCATTAGCTCCTTGCTCCAGCACTCCTACCCTCGTGGAGAGGGACCCACATGGGACACTGGACCCGGGGCCGAGCTGCACCCGCTGCTCCGCAAGCCAAGGTTTCCAGGGCAGGACAAGGCTTGGCGCATCCCGGGAGCCTCTCCGCACGACGGCGCTCCGCGCGCGGCGCCGCTCCCGCCCGAGCAGGACGCAGCTGCGGCTGGCGGCGGAGCCAAGCAGCCCGCGGGGGAGCTCCTGTGCGGAGAGCGGCTGCCAAGCGGCAGGCAGGAAGCACCTCCGGAGCGCGTCGGCAAACCTGTACACAGGCAGGGCCACGAGCTCCCCGGGACGGCGGTGGTCRCAGATGGAGCTCGGCCTCCTGCTATGGGCAGCGACCCGGCCGCCTGTGAGCATCCCGGTGCCGCGAGCATCCCAGCACCGCAAGCATCCTAGCACCACGAGCCTGCCAGTGCCATGAACATCACGACACCGTGAGCATCCTGGCACTGTGAGCATTCTGGTGCCATGAATATCAGGGCACCCTGGGCATCCCAGTGCTGTAAGCCTCCCAGTGCCATAGGCATTCCAGTGCCGTTGAACACCCCGGCACCACGAGCATCCCAGTACTGCAAGCATCCCAGTACCACGAGTATCCCAGTGCCAGGACCATCCTGGCACCACGAGCATCCCAGTGCCGTGAGCATCATGGCGCCATGAGCATCCCAACACCATGAACATTCTGGTGCCGTGAGCATCCTGGCGCTGTGAGCATCCCGGTACCATTAGTATCCCAGCATTATTAGCATCCTGGTGCTGCGAGCATCCCAGTACCACAGGCATCCTGGTACCACGAGCATCCTGATGCCATGAGCAACCAGGCGCTGCACGTATCCCATTTTCACCGCCACAAGTATCCAGCCAGGTTGGGTAGAAGAGGCAGGGAGGCCGGCAGCACCTCCTGCGAAGGCTCCTAGCGATGGGCCCGGGCTGCAGGAGCCCCAGGTTCTCCCTCCTCCCCCCCTCCACTTCCCCCCAAGCACAGCAGGAAAAAACACGGAGCTGACTGAGCCCAACGGGAGAACAATGGAAGGAAGAGGCAGCTCGGGAGGCTGCCCGTGCGTCCACACAGCTGCGCGAGGCGGCTCCCAGCTCYGGGGCACCCGGGGAGCCGCTCCGTGGGGACCTGGGAGGAGGCGGCTTTGGAGAAACCCCTTGGAAAGGGCAGCCTGGATTCATCCCTTCCTTGGGGGAAGCAGATGAGCTGCTCCTGCTCTGGGATTTGGGCCTGTGTGGGCAAACGGCTCCATCCCAATGAGCCCAGCTTGGCTTCCAGCGCCTCGCAGGGACCCGCACGGAGATGCTCCATGGCCAAGCGCAACCTGGCAGGCCAGGGAACTGCCCTTCCCCACGGAGCAGACAGCTCCGCTCGGCAGCCCTGCCGCGGGAAGCGGCCGGGGCCGGCTCCAGGGCGGAGGAGGCTCCTCGGGCCATGGTAGCTCCTCAGGCAACACGTGAGCGGCCGGTGAAGTCACCGTCCCTGCTGGGAGCCGGCTATTCCGCTCCGCAGGATGTGAACTCAGCGGAGCTCTATTTGCCGRGGGAAAAGGTGGAGCCTGTTCCATTTCCCCCATCCTTCCGAAAGGACAGGACACCTCCCGGCGCGGGAAGAGATGGGGCCGATAGGAAGGGGGCCAGCAGGCGAGTGCGGCTCCCGYGGCCGCCCCGGAAAGGCCGTCGCGCCGAGGCGCCCGCCGTGGCCACCGAGTGTCACCTGCAGGGCTGTCACCCGAGCCAGCGCCCGACACCTCCTGGCTCCCCCTCAATACTCACATTGCCCCCGGGAGCCGGGAAAGRGCCGCCCGAGCCCCAGTCCCGCTGCGAGCAGCCGGGCAAGGCRGCTGCGTCCTACAGGTACCTCAGCACGGCCCCGGACGCGATGTCACTCAAGGGACACGTTCGCTCCTGCGTCCATGTTGTAAAGCCRTTGATGAGCACAGAGAAATGACACAGAGGGACACAGGGAGATCAGGAAGGGGGCAGAGACACCATCAAGGGCAGCTCGACCGCAAACTGCAGCACCTGGGGAAGAACAGGCCGAGGGYGGGCGCGCGACGGGAGGGGACACAGGGGAGGCAGGAGAGGCCGCGAGCGGCTGGTGGCCTCGCCTGGCAGCGCYGAAGGCCCCGGCGCGGCTAATTCGGGAGCACAGGCAGGGACACAGCAGCCACCCGCAGCCCAAGGCTTTCGACACTCCAGAGCAGCAGGGAACTCTAATTTTCACGTGTCTAACAACAAGCCCCAGATAAAAGTGACAACAGGCAGGAGCAGCCGGCCAAACCCCGCGAGCTCCGGGGAGTGAAAGGAGGACACGGCCCAGCAAATGCAGGGTCAGTGGGGAGGGCACAGGGACTGGGGACGCAGTGGCCCTGAGCTGCTCTGTCCCATTCCCATGAGCTACCCATGTACCTGCAGGTTCCCAGCCCTGCGGCACGCGGCAGCACCAGGGCGGCACAGACACCAACCCCAAACTCGGCCTAGCTGGACACGGCTGGGAAGCTGCAGGAGGGATCTCCCCCTGGGAGCAGCTGCCAGCCGCGTTTCCTCATTGCCGGCACCGGCCGCTCCTGCCCGGCTGCGGCAGCAGGGGAGCCCCACGGTGCATGGGGTGCATGGGGACCGCACCGTGTGCCCGAGGGGCCAGCGCGGGGCCCGCAGCAGCGCCCCGGCCGCGTCACCGCCTCCCCTGCGGCRGCCGAGCTATTCCGGGCCCCGGCGCCACCTGCTCCGGCGAGTTCCTCGCATTGTCCGGCTGCGGCCGTAGCGCCCGGAGCCGCCAGCTGCAGCCGGGCGGCAGCTGCGTGGGGACCGCCGGGCGACCAGGGCCTCGGGGGGCAGCCCTGCACCCCGTCACCGCACCCGAGCTGCTTGCGGCGAGGCCGGGATGGAGCAAGACAGRGGCAGGAGGATGAGCTCTGCTCCAGCCATCGCCACTCGCCCTGCGGTCGCAGCGAGGAAAGAGGCCGGGAAAGGAGGACGGTGTCAACAGGGTGGCCCTGCCACGGGCAGCCCCCCCGCCGACGCTCTCG